ATAAAAATATCGCTCGTGAGTGCGGGAGTGTCGTTAAAAGTATCGCGCGTCAACAACATGAGAGGAGGAGGAGGCCTGGGAGAGGTATCTTGCATCGGCGGAGCAACCTGATGGTGAATATTTATTATTTGTATATCAATTGTTATAAATTGTACGCATAATAATTCGGTCTTATTATTTAATTGGATTAAAGAGAAAATTAAAGAAATAGATTTTTATAAAAGTCATATAAAACTTTCTATTTAAAAAACAGTTTCAAAAATTTATAAAATGTTTCCACATGTTTATCTCTGCTTATTATTTTACACATTGGATATAAAATTCCGAACGATAAAAATGTTTTGAAATATTGATTGTATTTTGTGAACATTTTTATAAATAAATTTTATATTTGTATGTTACAGACAACGTAGCTTCGATAACTCCGCTATTGCGCATCAGTGCCGATGAGTGAGAAAAACTTTTTTTTTATTTAACTTTAAGGTAACGAATTCGTAGAGATTGTAGATTGTAGATTGTAGCAATCCGTTTGCCTTAAAATGGATGAGCTAGGATTATTTAAATTAAAAAACTTTTAATAAATTCTTTCGAAATGCTTTGCAATTGTGAAAATATATTGATGTATTAATTAAAAAAAGAGAATATTTCAAGAAAAGAAAATATTTTGTAAAGATCTTGTCCAATTTATTAAATAAAGAGCACGCATTAATATATAATTTTATCAATTTTATCAATTTTTTATGCTACTTTATTTTCATAACGTGCACTTATTTTATTCTAATTTTATAGCTCATCCATCGTAGAATTTGTTTGTAGATATTGTTTTTAAACTTTACTTTAACTTAATATAATGCCAAATGATTAATTAATTAAATAATTTGTAATAGGATAAAAGTTATGCACATACATAAGTTTTATATTTTATTAGAAAATATAATATACAGAAATTTGTAGTAATTTGGCTTTGAGTTAAAATAAAATTATATTCAAGTATTTAACGAACGATCGTAAAATCGAGCGATCGTTATGATGAGCGTGAAATATATACACTCATTTGCCGTTAATTAATTGGCAAAAGAAGGAGTGTTTATCTCCTTTTTCGATTTCTGATTAGAAATCGAGTGAGAAAGTGACGAGGATCAACGAAAAGTAAATTCAACTGGCCTGAAGAAAAGTTTTACGTACAATAGTACGTATTGTCGGACATTTATTCACGCGGTTAGGGCACGCGGTTAGAGAATGTAATTAGGGCACGTAATTAAAATATATGTGATTAGAGATTAAAATATACGTGATTAGAGATAGGCTTTCCTCGAATAATTTTACTTAATGGAGAAATAGAATTGTTAGTACTATTAGGTGTTCATGAAGATTTTTTAATTTTCCCTTCAAGAAGTAAAGGATTGTTAGGGCTATTATGTGATTAATTTAGGTGATTAATATATTATGTATCTTTTAAAGAATCAGAAAATGTAAATTAGGTTTAAATAATATTAGGGACAGATTAAAAAATATTTCAATAATTATAATATTAACAAGAGGTTTTTAAGGGGGTTTTTAAGGGATTAATATTTTTTGAGTGTTTTTTTTATAGGTATTTTATTTATATAAGAATGAAAATTAAATTGTTAACACTCAATAATTTTTATAGTAATACGAATTTTTTGCGAAATTTTATGTATGCGAGAGCTCAATATTACCCCGGCGGGACCGTTAAATAGATTCTGCCGGGGTGTGCATAAGGAGCATTTTCCCCACGTAAAAAAAAAAGGATTGTTAAGGCTATTGGGTGATCATTAAAATTTTTTTAATATTCCTTTAATGCTAAAGAAAATATATTAAAATTCCAATAATCTTAGGAATTAATCATCACTAATCTTGTCTGGACTATGTAAAAATTTTTAGTAAATTTTATATTATAAAATATCTATACCCGAGAACAAATGTCCATAGAAAGTATTCCGATGGACTCCATAGGAAGGAATAAGCATGACAAGTAATTTTTATGATGTTAACACAGAAGAATACGATAAACCATAATAATCCAAGAACTCGAAGAAAAGAATATATTGGATAGAAATGAATAGTGATTGAAAATGATTAGAAAGTAAAAGACAGTATGCATACAACCTATTTATTAATAGTAATACTATTTTGTAATTATATTAAATTTTATAATTTAGTACATTGTATTATATAAAGTATTAAGCACAAAAGTATTATGCTGGTATGAAAATTATAATAAAAATATAAATAGTGTTAGCATATGAATTCTTTATATTTTATATAAAGGAAGAGACTTAAAATATTTTGCAACATCTATATTTTTCGAGTCTTAAAAAAACTTCAGAAGAATCAGTGATTAATTTGACAAATTCTATTCATATATTATTGGTTGATGCAAAAGTTCGTCCCGTTTTTGTAACAAAAATTGAAAGAAAATTTTATTTATTACAAATTTAATCAATATAGTATGTGCCGTTCTGTTTGATGACCTTTCTCCATCTTTTCGGTAGTTGCATAATCCCATGCTCATAAAAGTTCTGAGGTTTCTCGCTAAAGAACTGATCCAGATGATTTTTGACGTCTTCCAAGGAAGTAAAGTTTTTATCATCTAAGCTGTTTTGAAGCGATCTAAATAAATGGTAGTCAGAGGGCGCAAGGTCGGGAGAGTATGGTGGATGGACCAAAACATCCCAGTCAAGTTCTAAAAGTTTTTGTCGGGTGGCTAAAGACACGTGTGATCTAGCATTGTCCTGGTGGAACGCAACTCCCTTTCTGTTGGCTAATTCAGGCCGCTTTTGGTCGATTGCTTGCTTTAATTCATTTAATTGTAAACAGTATTTTTCCGAAGTAATGGTCTGATTTGCAGGTAACAGCTCATAGTAAATGATTCCTTTCCAGTCCCACCAAATGCATAGCATAACCTTTTTCGGATGTAAACTGGCTTTTGCGCTGGTTGAAGAAAGATCTCCGCGCTTAGACCATGATCTTTTACGCTTAACATTATTGTACACAATCCATTTTTCATTACCTGTAACCATTCGCTTTAAAAATGGATCGATTTCGTTGCGTTTCAATAGAGAATCGCAAGCAGAAATTCTGTCTATCAAATTTTTCTGCGTTAACTCATGCGGCACCCATACATCGGCTTTGCTAACCATTCCAAGTTGACGTAATCTTCTTGAAACTGTTGACTGGTTGATTCCAAGAATTTCTCCGATCTCTCGAGTTGTTCTATGTCGATCACTTTCAATTAGCGCTGATATTTCCTTGCCGTCAGCCTCAACCGGTCGTCCAGAACGTGGTGCATCACTAAGATTATAATTGTTTTCACGAAACTTTCTGAACCACTTACGACAAGTGGAATCGTCAACGGCACCCTCCCCGTACACAGCACATATCTTTTTTTGCGTCTGCGAAGCATTCTTGCCTTTTCGGAAATAAAAAAGCATAATATGTCGAAAATGCTCCTTATTTTCTGCCATTTTTAATGCGTAATAAAATATAAAAAACACAATCAAATATCACAACTTTTTTTCTCAAGTACTCGCTGATATTCCTTCTGTCAAACTGCATCAAAATTTTACACGTGTGAAGTTGGTAACACTTCGGTTTTGCGATGCAATGCCATTTAGAGCCAAAAACGGGACGAACTTTTGCATCAACCCAACTATTAGATTTTTAACTATTAGATTTTTAAATAATTAAAAAAATAATTGATAGATATCAAAGATCAGTTTACTGATAATTAATAAGATGACAGATTTATAGAAATACGATTAAAAATGTTTTTATCCCACAGCAAGCATTTTGTGTTTTGTAAATAAGAAGATATAAATATGACAATGAATATAGAAAAATATTTATTTCATCTTTGAATATTACAGTATCTTTCGCGATTGAATAATTTATTTACTATCAATTTACATACATAAAAATATCTTGTTATACAGCACTGCTATATACAGCGATGCTACCGTCATTTCGTACACATAGCATGGAACAAAATCTGAAATTGTGCACATTATATTTTACCCTCTGAGAACATTTATGGACTTTGATTTTGTAGTTCATATCCACGTTTTCAATGTCCATAGAGGGAATATCGCTTTCAGAGATCATTTGAAAGCAGGCCATGACATCTCTCAGTCTTCTCTCTGATATGTAAATCCATTATTTCTTCTCGAAGAAATGATATTTTTCCATGAAATTTTTTTCCAACATATTCCTTATAGAATTATGCATGGTGCGTCAGAGCCAGATTTTGCATTTTGGCTCTTAAAAATTTATAAATAAATAAAATTTGCGAGATTCGTATCTAACTGCACCTGACCCGTTACTAGGCGCGCGTTTCAGCAAATTTATTATATTTTATTCAAAAACTCGCTCGGTCGCACTGCAGATGATCCTACTGATTACGAATATCATAATTTTAACATGATTCTCTCTATATTTTGGCCAAAATAGTGGATTTACGAATTGGTAGTTCCTAGGTCTCCACGAGAGGTCTCCACAATGTCTCCTGTCGACCGATTGAAGCATTGAATAAAGAATACCAGGAAGGAGCATATGACCGAAAATCCTTTGTTTGTCGTGCGACGGATGTGACGTAATGAAAGTGAACCAAATATCGATAGAATCGAATTTATGACGTCATTGTAGTATATACTGTGACGTTACCATTGAATTCAATAGACGTTCCATGTGTAAGAACTGTGTAAGAACTGTGTAAGAACTGTAAAAATTGAATAGAGTGAGAATTAAAGAAAAAAAATAAAAAATGGTCAGTTGTTGCTTATGTGGATTTTCTAAAACAAAAGGATGCATAGAAACATTTCATACGTAAGTGGTATATAATATATTCTATTTAAAATAATAGAGTCAAAATAAAAGTATTACAACTTGTAGGTTAATTTTATTGTATTTTATATCTAACAATAGTCATGTTTAGTAAAGTATTTATTCATATTACTTTCATATTTTTTGTTTGATGCATTTTTAGTGTGTTTGAAATATACCGCCAGATATGTGATGACGTCATTTATGACGTTCATGACGTCATAGACTAACCCAATGTTCCCGCGATCTATCGCTACATGCTCCTTCCTGATATTCTTTATTCAATGGATTGAAGCCATGGTGTAAGCTGAGTTATTGCAAAAGTTGTTTACTATTGTAAAAAAGCACGTGAAAAATCTTAAGGAGAAACTACGTAAAATTTCACAATGAATGAAAGTAAAATAATGACGATTATATTGCGTAGAATGTTTAGCAAAAAATATTTCAAACCACTCGCCGGTATTCGTTCAAGAATGCAATTAATAAAACAGGATGAACAGAATGTTGATATCGAAAATTTCGATAATGAAGATTTAAGTGAATTCGAAGCAGATTTTATGAATGTCGGTGAAAGCCATAAAATACACGAAAGGTATATAAACCTAAAAAAATTGTATGTATATGTTGCACTCAATGTGTACCATAATGCTACAATATATTTTTTATATAGAATTATATTTCTCATATAGAAATATGTGTGTACTTGCATTTAAATTTAATTTATTCTAACTTTTTATTTGAAATTTGCATAAAAAATATAATTATTCAATATTAATTCTAATTGAAATAATTTAATAACTTTTTACATGTAAATTATGCAAACTATAATTTTTTATGATGTAACAGTTTTAATCTACAAACAACACAATTTGAACCATATTTATAATTTTATAGGAAATTTCCTACAATTATATTTTATTGTGAATAACTGTAATTTTTATAATAATTTATAACTTTTACAATTTTTCACATTACTCAAAAATATAAAAAGTTGTAGAAAAGACCCTATATATCTTGTATGAAAAAAATGGCTTTGGTCAAATTGGCTGAAATTAAAATAAGTTGTAATTTAGGTGGTGCTGATCAAAAGTTTCCTAAGACAAAAAGTCCAAATCAAAAATACAAAAGATACAATGATTTGAAGTAGGTAATATTGAAGTTTAGAAAACGTCTGTTTTTGAATATATAGATTTAATATATAAATGTCTGAAAAAAAATATTTATTTATAATGTATATCACTTCTACAATATTTAATAATTCTAAATCTTTTTTGTTATATATACATACATACGTGTGTGTGTCCATATATGTGTACACGCGTGCTGTACCTGATTTCTGCGTAATAGACATGCATAACAAAAAGAGTTTAGAATCATTAAATATTGTAAAAGTGACACATGTTATATATAAATATTTTTTTCAAACATTTATATATTAATTTAATCTATGTATTCAAAAACAGATTTTTTTTTCAACTTTAATACCACCCACTTCAAATCATTGTCTCTTATATTTTTGATTTTTAGACTTTTTTGCTTCAGGAAATTTTTCACCACCACCTAAACTACAACATATTTCAACTTTTTTCATATAAAATGTATGGGGTCTTTTGCAATAATTTGTAAATGATTTTATAATTCACTATAATTTATTACATCTTACCACTAGTTTCTGAATATTTATAAATTCAGAAAATTCAATAATATTTTCTATATTAGAGATATGATTTTCTATACTAAAGATTTTCTATATTAAAGATTATAAGAACAATTTGTTATATATGTGTGACAGAATAAATATAATATTTTTGTTTAGAGAAATGAGGAAGAATAAAGAACATTTAAAACAACAGATTGTCAATCAGAAGTATTTTATAGAAAATGAACCACGTTTTCTCACATTTGCAGAAAGGCAATTAATTTGTAAATTATACAAATCCAATCCTGAAGAATGGACAGTGGAAAAGCTTAGTGAGAGTTTTCCTGCTTTACCAGAGACAATACGAAAGATTGTGCATGCTAATTGGATGCCAAAATCAGTCGAGAGAATCATGCAATATGATGATGTAGCAATTGAAAATTGGAAGAAATTCCATACTGGAAAACTTCCAGTAAGCCCCAGATTCAATGAACATTTGAAAAAATTTAAGAACAGAAAGATTATTTTGACAGACAGGGAATTATTGGCAAAACAGTTTGTTGTTCCTAAACCAAAATTTGGGAAACCAAAGAGTCAATTGTTTTCTAATATTATACAATCTTATGCAAGTGAAAAACAAAATAATGAAAAATTATTACAAGAGAATAATTCACACAAAATGAAAGATGCATTTATTCATTCTAATGAAAATCAGAATTTATTGATCGCAGATAACAAGACTGAAAATAATTCTATTGATGTTAAAAATCCCAAGAAATTTATGTTAAAGGAAGAACAGCATCTTACATTAAACTCAGATACAGAATCAAAGAAACATGATATATTTAATAAGAAAAATAATAGCGAGAAGCTATTTACATTCGATGAATTTGTAAAGACAAAACTGGAGGATATACACAAAAAATCCCCAAAAGAAGGTATCACGCTATTGAACTTATACAGGAAACAAATGGATGCTAGTGAAGAAATAAAAACTGCATCCAATGATGCAATAATTAATACGGAAAAAGGTTCATTAGAAATTGTACAGAAATCTGACCAGAGTGTTTCTGAAATTTCTAAAAATACAGATAATAATATTGTCATAGCAGATAATTTGGTAGATACAAGTATTAAAATATGGAGTAAAAAAATAGATGCAGAATGTGACTATGCTAAGCCAATAAAGATATCAGAAAATCTCTATAAACCTGGAATGACATATCGAATCAACGATTGTTATTATGATGATGATGGAGAGTTTTTATATCGAATTCCGGGAGTACAATCTTGATTATTGCAATTATTTTACAATGAACTTATTAATGTATGTACATAGCTAATTTGTATTATATAATGTATATAATATAAATATTTAATGAAAGAAAACTACAACTTCTTTAATATCAATCTTGTGAAAATAATTTTCTTTTTTATGCCAAAAAAAATTTTATGACAACTACAACTTTTTACGAACAATTCAGAAGCGATGCGAGAAAAGTCGTAAAATTATTTCTATCAGAGAATTTATGAAATGTAATTTAAAGTTTGTTCGCGTTACATGCTCCAATGTGCTCCAGAGAGCACTTGGATGAGATCACAAGTAAGATGGCAGTTAGAGCAGATGAGTTCGTGCACCAACGTTTGGTGATACGGACTTGAGGCACTTTCCCTGGGTGGGATCCGGTTAATCACGTCGCCAATTGGCCAATTCAAAATAGCACTCTCTGATTGGTTAATTGTTGCTGGTTACATTAGGCACACGTCGATATAATTGGCTGTGGTCAAACGGGACGCTCTCACTTTCCCTTCTTTTTTTGCTTCCAATCAATCGCATTACTGATAACATCTTGGTGCTTTTACTGATTTCAATATTATAATTAATAATATTATAATTGATAATATTAATGATGAATTTGTAGAACAAAATCTATTACCCTTGGATATTAATAATTTTGAAAATGAAAATGAAAATCGATGACGAAATAGAAAGTGAGTATAAGAAGATGTAGCGTTCTAATCTTGTGTTAATATAATTTCTAAAGATTGGTTTTTTAATTATATAAAATTCAATAAAAATGCACAAACTAAAAAAAAGTGGAATTTTAAATTCCCCTTTTTTTTAGTTTGTGCATTTTTATTGAATTTTATATAATTTATTTGCAGATATTGCTGTTAACGCAATTATTGAAATGAAGGTTTCGTCCGACGAATACCTAGAACATGCATAACCGACTATGTTGAACATACAGTGCCAATATATACAGATAGAGGATTTGTTATGCATTTTCGTTTAAAGAATTTATCCATTAATTTATATTTTATATATTACGCATGCGCCAACATTTGCTCCAACTGCACCACCATTGAAGGTGAGGCACATGGAGCATGCTCCTAATTGCTCCTTAGGCCGGTATTCATAGGCCGGTATTCATAGTCCGATCTTATATTTGAGATCGTCTTAAGTTCGAGCTTGAAATGCTACGCAGCTATTTGATTGGTTGAATGAGGTCTTAAGTCAACCTCGGACCAGACTTAAGACAATCTTAAATATAAGATCGGACTATGAATACCGGTCTTAAGATGCGGCCTCATTGACGCTAAAAAGTAGCGTCAACCATTGGTTGAACAATGAAGCAACTATACTTACCTCCTTGTTCAACCAATGGTTGACGCTACTTTTTAGCGTCAATGAGGCCGCACCTTTAGAGTATGTTCTATCGCGACGCGAACACCTAGTCGCCATATTAGTTCCGTTGACGCGAACGTATTGAAGCGTATTGAAGGAGACACCTCCGATTAGACACAGTACAATTGGACACAACTGACTTTGATTGGCTAATCGTGCTTGATCGTGCTGGTTACCCTAGGCATCGGTCGATATGATTGGCTGTGTTTAATCGTACTGTGTCTAATCGGGTAATCCCCTATTGAAGTGAGTAGGAGGATGTTGGGGCATGCGACGCGAACAAACCTTGACCGGTATTCATAGTCTGATCTTATATTTGAGATCGTCTTAAGTTCGAGCTTGAAATGCTATGCAGCTATTTGATTGGTTGAATGAGGTCTTAAGTCAACCTCTAAGCAGACTTAAGGCTATAGCACACACTTTCCATAAGCATGACAGTAAGGTTTCGACCAATCGCGTTGCTCAATTTGGCCGTCCGTAACCAAATTGAGCAACGTGATTGGTCGAAACCTTATTGTTATGCTTATGGAAAGTGTGTGCTATAGCCTTTAAGACGATCTTAAATATAAAGATGCGGCCTCATTGACGCTAAAAAGTAGCGTCAACCATTGGTTGAACAATGAAGCAACTATACTTACCTCCTTGTTCAACCAATGGTTGACGCTACTTTTTAGCGTCAATGAGGCCGCACCTTAAGATCGGACTATAAATACCGGCCCTTGTGTCCTCTGTGTCGCTAGCTGGAAAACGCCCAATGTCATGAGCTAAAGAGAGAAAGAGAGAACAGAATAAATACGAAAGAGTAAGCGAAATAGAAGATGGTGTTACTGACCAACTTATTTATTTTGCGCATGCGTACTCCGTTTTTGGCCAACACAAAATCGGAAGAGTTGCTACTCTATGTACTGTAATAATTCAGTGATATAACCACAAAAAAGGTGCCGGCAATTGATTGACGCTATTATGTACATACTTATATTATGCCCCAATCTTCTCTCTAATTTATATTTCTAATATTTAATTCTGATATAAGAAGAAAAAGAAAAACTTTCATCGGAATAAACAAGATATTTACAAAAATTTCTTTTAAAATAAATTATTTAAAATTAAAAGCTATTTAACAATTTTAGCAAAATGACGGCTGGTATATTAATATTTTTATATAAAATTATATTATTATTTTAAAATTTTGATTATATATTTATGTATTTAAATCTTCAGAAATAGATACAAGTTTACTGGTGATTGTATTAGACATCAATCCTGTACAACGTATAGTGAAACAAGAGACAAAGATATTGTCACAATGTTTGGATTCTACAGTCGTTTTTGCCAATGCTCATCTCATGCAGTCGTCTAATAATGAATTAGCGATTATGGCATGCCATGGTCATAGTGCCAAATTTCTCTATCCATGTGAGAATATGGCAGAAATAAGACAGATAGATGGCCAGTATGAAAAATTTACTATGGTAGAGCGCACAGTGCGTCAGCAATTGCAACAAGTTATCAATGAAATTTCAATGAATACTCCATTAAACACGGAAAGTCTCATCTCAGGTGCCCTCAGTATGGCGTTATGTTATATTGCTCGATTGGAGCGAGAAAAGTTTGCTAATCAGAAATTGCATTCTAGAATGTTGGTGATTACTGCCAGCAATGATTCTGCCATGCAATATATGAACTATATGAACATATTCTTCACAGCACAGAGAATGGTATTTGTTTTTCTATTAGACTTTTATTAGTATAATCAGATTTATAACGAAAAAGATTCATCTGGATGTTTTTAGAATGTCATTCTAGATGTGTGCAGTCTGGATCAAGAATTGACACTCTTGCAACAAGGCTGTGAAATTACTGGTGGCAATTATCTACAAGTGCCACAGCTTGCTGGATTGCTACAATATTTGTTGGTAAATCATCTATACTTAATTCTGTACTATTATCAACTTAAGTAAAAGTATACATGCTATGATTTTTTCTTTTATGAATTAGTGGGTTTTCCTGCCAGATCCCAGTGTTAGATCAAAATTAGTCTTGCCACCACCAGTAAAGGTAAACTATAGAGCGGCATGCTTCTGTCATCAAGATCTCATTGATATTGGATATGTTTGTTCTATATGTCTGTCAAGTAAGTACTGCCATAGTTATATCAAATAATCACAAATATTTTAATCAATATATTGAATTATTAATTTGAATTTAAGCAATAATGTCGATAACAATATTCAATTTATTTGTATTAAGATAATGTAATTGAAATATTATTATTTTACAGTTTTTTGCAAATATAGTCCAATATGTACAACTTGTCAGTAAGTATTTTTGTAATATTATAATCTACACTATATTATATATAATTACTTTCGAAAATAATAAATATTTATGATATGTACTTTACATAATATGTATTAATTATATTAATTAACAATTAATACATAATATATTATGTATTAATTATGTTAATTACATTTGATATATAATTATGTATTACATTGTAATTTCTTCTTTTTTTTTAAGCACGGTATTCAAGATGCCAGGACCTATGCCAATGAAGATAAAAAAAAAGAAAAAGACTATAGATATTGTTCATTAATGTTACATATTTCATTACATAATTATATTTCACATAAATATAAAAAAAAGTCATAATATAAAAACAGATTCATATATTATAATTTCATATATTATAATTATAAATTGTGATTTATGAATTACAATTTATAATTATAACCAAAGAAAAATTATATAAATTATAAATTACATTAAATGATTAATCATAAACTTAATCAATTAACGAGTTTTTATAATCTATAATCAAAATTATGTCAATTAACATAATTTTATTGCCTCTCTGTTTATCTGATTTATATTATATTAGATTAGTTGACGTCGTGCATTGTTATGTTGTGGCTCGATTATGTGTAGGTGGGTGCTGTTGCGGTATGTAACCAATGCGTTCCTGAATTTCACTCTGAGGAACTTTGCCTCCCCATATAGGAGGAGTCATAGAAGATGACGATTTCTTTTCAGGGTCCTTCTTGGCTTCATGTGCTTTTCTTATTTCCTCGTATTCCTGCAAATCGTCCAAACGCATCTCTATCCGTGTCGGACTTCGTCGAATCATTATACTGCAAAAAAAAAAGAGAAGAGAAGACAAGTGACTTTGTTTTATGCAAATAGTAAATTTCTTACAAATTAATTGAAAGAGAAAAAGATAATCAATTGACGCGAACGCGACTTCTAAAATAGATTGCATGCTCTTTGGCAATTAAAAGAGAATGATTGATTTTTAGTGAACTTAGGCCCAATTTCATCAACGCGAGTTAATTTAATCGGTCGATTAAATTTGTCACCAGAATTGCCAATAGCAAGGCTTCAAAAACGAACGTTGTTAAGTCGTTCTTGACCTATTCTTGTTGCGTGTCATATACAAGCATTATAACCGTGAAAGTGGGAATAAGGTTGAATTATCATATAATAATATTGAATGATAAAATGAATAATATATATGAATAATATATTTGATATAATTAATAATTAAGAGAATATTAACAACGTTATGGATTTCTTAGACTTCGGTGAATACGATGATGATAATCTTGAAAGAAATAATGAAAGAAAAGAACGTATATTTAAACCACGTATTAATTATTTTGACGTTTTAAATGACAAACTTTTCGAATACATACTTTGCTATTATTATATACACTTGGCAATATACGATTCTTCACAGATGTCAAGAAAATAGGTTAATAAAGATCAGTTTTATGTTCGGCAGTTGGCAACTTTGAAATTTGAACCGACCGATTAGATTAACTCGCGTTGGTGAAATCGGGCCTTACTGAAAGACAAAAAGAAAATAATTGTACAGGATAGGAGACGGAATAATTTTATTTCCTCCGATCTCTCGATATTTAAAATTTATAAATACACTAAGAGCACAGAAACATTCTAGATTCTAAAATTAAATGTGCAATCTTAAAAGTTCCTTCTCTCCGATCGAACGAAATCTATCGAAAATATACAGGGTGTCATTTATTTAGCACCCACTATTTATACTCAATAATTACCGCTTTATTAAGCATTATAGAAAAAAATGATTCAGGACTTTTCGACTTAGTTTTCCACGAGGAATATCGCTATATAAATGGTGGGCGCCAATTAAGTGACACCCTGTAATATAGTGCGTTCGAAAATATGTTTGGTTGGTGTTGGGAAAAAAGATAAAGTTGGCAGTATTGAAAACTCCCAGTGCTGCGTTTCGTTTCTCCCACTGGGATCACTAGGATCAAAAAAATTTGCTACTTGAGATATTAATGCCCGATTTCACCAACCGCGTTTAACTTTAATCTTAGTTCAATTCACTCTTTGTCTCTTTCTAAAGGAAGAGTTAAAAGGAGATAAAGAGTGAGTTAAACTAAGATTAAAAAGTTAAACGCTGTTGATGAAATCGGGCATAAAAGAGGTAAATAAGTAGTTAAATATATTTTATAATAATATGTTTAATAACATCACATATATTATTATTAATACGAACATGTGTTTTATATTAATAATGCTATAATTATAATAAAGTAATATAATTTATCTAAAATGTGATTTAAATTCAATATTTGTATATCTGGTAACAACATTTTCCAGATAATCTGTTATTTTTGGTACCATTTTTCTTTCATCTCTATTGTTATTACCTCTATTTTCGAATAAAATATTTTGTAATTCTTCATTATTATCATCACTATCTGAAGAAGAACTCGAAGATTCAAAAATGATGTTTTCGAGTAAAATATATTGTTCTATAATAATAATTAGTGTAATTGCAACACTTTCATATATTGTTGTACATACGGTACAATACAATCCTAATGATCCCAGTGGGAGAAACGAAACGCAGCACTGGGAGTTTTCAATACTGCCAACTTTGGGTGTTTACGACAATTAATCGGATCTTTGATCGGACTGAGAAGTGGTACTCAGCGATACTTTTTAAATTTCCCTAGATTAATCCGGATCAATGATGTGTCTCTGAGGTAATCGAATTAGATTAACAACTTATTTGATAGAAAACATCTTATTCCAGTAAAATACATTTATTTATTAATATATATTTGATAAATAAAGATATATTAATTAAAAGAATAATAAAGTATCTTTTATAATATCTTATGATGTTTTTCACAATTTTTTCGATCAGCTCGACCGCAATTTCTTTCGATGACTGTTAATCTAATTCGATTACTTTAGAGACACATCATTGATCCGGATTAGTCTAGGGAAATTTAGGAAGTCTATCGCTGAGTACCACTGCTCAGTCCAATCAGAGATCCGATTAATTGTCGTAAACACCCTTTATCTTTTATCCCAACACCGACCAAACATATTTTCGAACGCACTAATAATCGTTTGAGATCGGGCACCGGGCCCTTTAAGTTACATCCCTGTCCACGTGTAACATGGCGAAATGACAATGCCTCAAATAATCCAAAATCGAGCCGCATCATCCTAAAGGGATCGTGCTTCGCAACTTTGTTATTATGCCAATCGCGCATTTTCGAAAACCCCTCTCCGACAGGCCTTACCTCTACAGGCGTCGGGAGCGTTAAAAGCGCCTCGAAATATGCGGAGGCGGAGGGGTTGGACACGCGCGGGCACGCTTTCGGTCGGGCGGTTCTTTCCCCGGAGAATTCACGCGAAATTGCACGATTTCCCGGCAACGGGCGGCAAGTACTAGTCGAGTATACTGATCCTGGACGACCGGCGACGCGGGAAGATGCTCTACCTCGAGGATTATGTCGAAAGTGCGTACGATGAGCGTCGCGCTCGACTCGCCAACGGGATTCTAACCTCTTCCTCTCGCGGAGAGCTCTCTTAACCTTCAAACAGTCTCGAATCGAAATCGACGAACGCAGCCATTTTTGTTTACGTCTCGAGCCGCGTCTCCTTTTGCATCTCTACTCGAGCTGAATTCGCGAATTATTATTGTAAAATGATGGGAAATTTGCGCGTTCGCTTCCCGACGCGATGTCCCATCGAGAGGTTAGACGACATTTGTCGATCGATGTAGATAATTATTGTCTTGTGTGATGGAGATCATTTTTTTTTTTAATTATTAAAAATGTCAGACTCACGAATATAAAAATTAAATACATAAATTGGTACAAATGGCAATATGAGTCTAGTGTCGATATTGTTACACCGTTATTTATTATATATAAAAAAACAATCATATAAAAATATTCATTTAATAAATATACATATGAGTGGATTTTTTTTTTATTTCCAAATTCTGCTGGCGAATATCGAATTTCGCTAGAATATCGTATCTTTAAAATTAAAAGTTGATTTGAAAATTTTTTGCCTTTTCTCTAGAGTCGTTATAAGTATTTACTATATTTATTAATTTTGCAATGAATATTTACTTGTTTATAAAATTTGTTAATAAATATGAGAAAAATTAATATTAAGTTGCAAAAGCACTAATTTTAAAATTTGTTTGTTAAATTATTTCATAAATCAAATATTACAAATGAAGCATAAATAGCTATTTCAGAAGCAAACTTGAAATAAGTTAACATTTTTTTTTTAATGTTGTCATATGTATTTCAGTGATCGAGCATCTTCCACAAGAGTTGAGGGATCGATTTACCGAAATGAGAGAAATGGATCTAGGTGTGCAAAGTATGTGTTCTTTGATGTAATAAAGACAGTAATGATAGTAATATAAACAGTAATGATAGTAATATAAATCAATGATAACAAATCCATTTAATATTTTCAGATTCCATGGATAGTCTGGAGAAGAAAGTAAAGACATTGTTTTGCAATGCGAAAAAGATGAAACCCAGTGAAAAAGAGGCGGAATATGAGGCTATTAGAAGAGAATACTACAAGACCTTAGAGGATGCCGATGAAAAAGTGCATTTAGCTAATCAAATGTACGACTTGGTAGACAGGTATCTAAGGAGACTCGATCAGGAACTGCACAAATTTAAGATGGAACTGGAAGCGGATAATAAGGGCATTACCGAAATCTTGGAGAAGAGATCTTTGGAACTAGATCAACCTCCTACAAATAGTAGCCAAAAAGAAAATCGTTACAATTTTACATCAAGCAGAACACGAGATAATCATAGCCATTGTAAGTCTCTTATCAATTTTTGTTCAACTACTATATGTCATATTTCATATCAACTACTACTCTCCATTTTTAAAGATTTATTTTCTAAAGATTATACTTCCTAAATGTAGTATATTGTGTTCAATTAAAACTCTAACTCTTTGCATGCAGAATTTCAAAATAATCTATAAAATTCATTGATTAGAGCAAATCTATTATACAAGTGGAATAAAATATGATCGATAATAATATTTCTGTGCAAGAATAATTATCAAGTTTTATTTTGAATTTCAGCTCGTTCAGAAAAACGGCGAGACTCCAACGCGTCTTCCACATCTGTCGAAAAGAGACTGGCGATTGAAAAACTGCCGGCGACAACGAGTCTGCCAGAATCGCGGCCAGCGTCTGCGAATTCCGGACCTATTATCGCAACGAACAATGTTGCGCCGGCGCCAGCGACTATCGCCAATTCCGTAGGCTCGGTATGTTACAATCTCGGTCACATCGGGGCAGGTGGTAATGCAATCGCGGCGGCCGCGTCGCAAGCGATTGCAGCCACGCAGTCGATGCAACAAGGCCGACGGTCAGCCAGTTTGAAGGCCAGCTACGAGGCCATTAATACTGGTGGTGTACACGCCGCGGAATTTAGCAGGGAATTGGCCGGCGCAGCGCAAACTGCTATCGCAGCAATTCAAGAGACCACAAAGAAGCATAAAAAGTAAATAGAATATATAAAAGAAAGTAAACTCTGTTCATTGATTATTTTTATGAAAATTTTAGTTATATTCTGGATGTCTCTAGTAGAGAAAAAGAGAAATTGGTGGATTGGAAATCTTTTGTTGTAAAAATGTTTAAGATATTTTATGTATTTTATAATAGATTTTTTTTTTTAGAATGATTTCATCTTATCTTTCTTCCAAGATGTTTTAAAATTATTCAATTGGATATCACATTGGATTTCACATAAATAAATCTTAAATTATTAATATTTATTAATTAAATTATTAAATTAGTAATACTTTTATTATACTTGATAAAAAAATGTTTTATACTTTTTAAAAAATACATTGCCTTATATCTTGAATTATAGGAAAGTGACTGCCACTGTACCGAGTTCAAGCGTGATCGCAGCCACGGTTCAACAGCCTGTATCGCCACCGGTAGTAACTACAACTATGCAAGTAGTGGATCCAGACAATCCGGAATGGACATGCGATCCTAACGAGCCACGCTATTGCATATGTAATCAAGTGTCATATGGTGATATGGTCGCTTGCGACAATTCAGACGTAAGTTTTGTCGATATTTTCGAATATTAAAACGGATAAACTTTATAACGATAATTTTGTTATTAGTGTCCCTTCGAATGGTTCCATTACGCTTGCGTGGGCATCAGTGCACCACCAAAGGGTAAATGGTACTGTCCCCAGTGCACATCTTCGATGAAGAGACGCGGCGGGCGGAAGAACTGATTAAATAGAAAGAAAAAGTGGAAGAACGTTGATCATGTTGAGAAAGCATCGCTGCTACTACCTCTTAGACACTGTCCGTCTTGTATTGATTTAGTTAGGAAGTCTTTATTAGAAGCTCTTATTAAGTATGACTTTTTCAATATGTTGTTCCGAATTCGAGTCATCTTTCGACTTTCGGACTCTTTTTTTTCTGATCGATTGAATATACATCGAAACGACAATGTTATAGAATGGTTATATATCGAAATATAAACATTTAATGAAGATGTTTTTTGAATTAAAAAATTTTTTTAAATATTTTTTGTGTGTTTTCGCTTTCTGCCATTTACTTCGGAGCAATAAAGAAAGCGAGACAAGATGAATACAAGATTTTGAAAATAGAGAATCGTTATAATATATTCTTTCGACAAGTTTAAAATTGATTAATCTCGTCAAGAATTTAAATTCTTACTTAATTATCGAATAGCGAAAGTTTCCTGGCAAATTAGGTTATAAATAAATAAATTTATTTTTAAGTAATTGTAAAATTGTGAAATTTAGTTTAAAAAAGATTTAATTTGATATTAAAAGGTCAAGCAATAATATCTAATATTTAATAAGTGAAGAATTTATTTTCTCGATGAAAGAAAAATGAATTTTGTATTCGTCTGCGATTTTTCTTTCAAAGCCATTCTATATAAGAAAGTTCTGCAAATACTAATTGAAACGAATGCAAAAGCAGAATTGTAGCGACTCGGTGTATGAATAAAATGAATTATGCAGAAACGAATATTATTGCCAAAATGAGTGATGTTTCTTCCAATTAATCAGTTGTCTTTTGTATTAAGTATATTTCGAAATCATTTCGACCATGATCTCTCCTAACTTATCCTTCCATTACAAATTCATTAAATACAATCAACACACGTTCCAAACTTTATTATTTTACGAATAAGAAAATATTGATAAAACTCAAGTCCATTGTACAGTATCAATCGCTCATTGATTTCAAGTTATTAAAAATTAATAAGTACAATGATGTTAAAATTGTTAGCATATGTCATAAGTATAATTCATTATTGCGATTGTGTAAACTGCGGGAAATGTTGGCGAATGAACGTGACCTATCTCATCAATCTTCTCTTATGGGCAAACCTATATCTCGCCGATAATAACTTCATGACATTACGAAACGGTCATCTCTTCGCCTTTTATATTTACACTAACGCTATGTTTGAGATATTAAGACAATAATCAAATAATAAAATCCGAATTAATATAACAATAATGCTCTTCCAAAAGATTCGATATGAAGAATTCTCCGAAAATATCAATTTTGTAAGCGAAATTGTTGCTTATACAGGGTGTCCCATTTTAATGTCCCCAAATAACATTCTTATTTTTAATTTTAGAAAAAGATGTTTCAGACAAAAGTTGTATGGTTTCTAGGGGGACATAAGATGGTGCCATTAGTTTGACCTTAAAGAGTCACATGAAGGTTACATGAAAGTCATTTTGAATTTCTTAAATGGATATATTATCCCTATATATTTTTTCATATTCTTGTAGCTTATCTCGAGAGCTTTCCAAAACACTATAAATAAACATTTTTTCATCAAGTACTTTTCGAGTTCTGAGGCTTGAAATCATTTCTTAATGTTATATAAACCATAAAATATCTTGTAAAATATTCATTTTTCGATTATCTTACCTTGATACTTTTATACAAAATAATAAGAGAAATCAATTGGTGTAAAGAAAACATACAGTTGTTTTTAAGAAAAAATATGGAATTGTTAATTGCACCTTCATGTGACTCTTCAAGGTCAAACTAATGGCTATCCATCTTATGTCCCCCTAGAAACCATACCATTTTTGTCTGAAACATCTTTTTCTAAAATTAAAAATAAAGTTATTTGGGGTGGGACATTAAAATGAGATACCCTGTATAAGGCAGAATAGCTGTAATAAATAAAATATGTACAGAGAAAAAAATACTGCTGTTGAAGTGAACGATATCTTTTTTTATTAAACATTTTCGTACGATTAAAATTTATATCACTTTCTATCTTAATTTCTCATCTTGTCCATTACAAATTCAAAGATGCGAGTCAATTAATATGCGCTCAAGCTTTTATTTTATACAAGAAAATATCAATCACTCACTGGTCGCTTAGAACCTAGAAATTGCCTGAATCTCTTCTTTGTATTGTGTTTCATTATTATATTTTATAACTCCAAATGGCAACATATGGATACGTTGAAAATGACGTTGAAGAAGACGTTCCAATATTACTAAGAAATGCCATATCAGCAATACAATGATAGAATCCTCATCTGGGTAATAATATGCAACCAATATACTGATAATTATGAAATTAATTATCAACAAGAAATGACACACGCGCCACATTTTATTATCAGAATCGCAAGATATTTATTGTTTTAAGTTATAACAAAAAAATAATCGCGTTAAAATATCAAAACTGTTAATGGCACACACGATCCGAAATTTAATTTAATTAATCGTAAACGACGTGTTTTAGTCAAACAAATTTCGAAGAGTCTTATTTTTAGACATGACCCGCGTTAATGTTATTCAGGAATTGGCGATAAAGTTTTGCAACGTTTCGATTAATTAAATGTTTACATTTACATTACCTTTTTGGAATATCGAACGCGAAATTTTTAAACGTATGACACAATGGAAATTACAAACACTATATATATAACGAATACTGATTTTGAAAACAGCATACTATAATAATATATATATATATATATATATATATATATATATATAATAAAATAAAATAAGAATAATTAAGTAAATAGAAATTGTACTTTTACATATTTTAAATATATTTTAAATTGTACTTTTAAGTAGGAATTACTTTTCATATTAACATAAACATTAATTAATAGAAAGAAATATGGTTAATTATAATTAGAAAGAAGAAAGAGATGTTATCGAGACAAATAATCATATTTCTTTCTATTAATTAACTGTGCTTTTTGGGTCAATATAAAAAGTAATTCGTATTTAAAAATACAATTTAAATACATTTAAAGTACGTAAAAGTACATTTCGTATTTATCCAATTATTCTCATTTTAATTTATTTTCTTCTGAGATAAGAATTGACTAGACGCGATAAATATACATCCAAATTTCTCTGTGAAAATATAAATTTAATATTCACTCACCGCGATTGATTAGAAATCTTCAAGTCCATTTGAAATGTCTCCAATTGTGTTAATCTTTATGTAACTTAGGGTATAAAGAGTAACAATATCAGAAAATGAAAATAAATTAAGCAATATGTCAACAGACAAGCTAAATTTTTTAGTTTTCGCTTTTCAGTCCCATTGTTGTCATCAGTCATAGAAAATATGAACAAGAAGAATAGGAACCACATGCAGAGTAATAAAATATATGTATAATACATTTTATGTTCGTATCGTTAACAATAGATATCGAGAATTATTACAATCTGCGACTTAAACTTTAAATATTAGAAAAATCCTGGAGGACAAATCAAATGTTTCACGTCAACGTTTCTGAGCAATTGACGAAATTTATCGCTAACCGAAAGTTTCAAAACGATTATCTGCAAATGTTTATGTTATCTTTGTGGAATATACGCGGACGCAAAATTTGAACATCAAAACCGTTATATAAACGTATTCTGCGAAGATATTTCGATTTCGAAAATAATGCTATAAAATAATGTTATAATATATAAATAAAATGAACTATATAATATGGAGACAAAGGTTGCTATCAAAACTTCTCTTAATTAATTTGCTAGATGCAGTATCCGCTCCAAAATGTCATCTCGTGTATGAAAAAATAAATTCAAGATTCACTCACTTCGATCGGTTGGAGGTTTTCTCCTTTTGAAACGTTTTTTCTTATATTCACTATCTTTTTATTTAGCAATCTATCTCAAATGTCAAGATCGATTATTAGATCTATCACCTGTTACTTATGTACCGTATGTTTATGTTTATATTTACCTTCAGGATAACGAACATGAAAATCGGATATTCACGACATAATAAAGTCCTTTCAAAGCTACATGTGCATACAGACAGAATTCTAAGATATATTACAATTTCGTAAGCAGAATTGGCATATAAATAAAACGAAACGTGTAAAGAGAAATGAAAATAATTATTTATTTTCATTAATTAGGCATTATTTTGTCATTCACAGTAATTCAAATTTATTTCACGTTAATCTTTCCTAATTTTTATTCTCTCATTAGAGATTCGCTAGATTATTGACAAATGGTCCAAATTTTATTTTCTGTGCATAAAAATACCAATTTAAAATCCATTTGTATCGATTGATTTAAGGATGTATTTGGACTGTCTGTCTCAAAAGTTAATCCAAAGTACCAAAAAATTAAAGTTGGGCAGAATACGAATTCTAATTGATCAAAAATTTTTTAAAAATCACAAAATCATACTTCAAAGTATTCTTTAATATAAATAGGTCTTAATTTCCAAGAAAATGTTGCCACGTTTTATCAATATTCCGTCAAACCGATAATCACAGTTATTTTTTAATAATAATTTCAAAACGAGCAAGTAAATCGTTTTAAAACTTTGTGGACATTTTTACATGTATGAATATAATATTACAAAATGAAATTTTTATCATTGTTTTTTTATAGTTTGTGAATAATTTATTACCTGTCTCTTGAACGTTTACATAAGATCCTATGTTAAAAATGTCCTATGTTATCGCAAAATTCAAAAATTAATAATTTAAAGGAGCAAGTTAAAAAATTTGAAATAATTCATGACGATTTAGAATGTTATTAAGAATGTTAAATTAAAAATTCACGACGATCTCATTGATTGTAATATATCTTTAAATCCAATACATCCTTAAATACCATTCGATCTACTTCTGAGCTGTATAGCAGCCTTCACGTTATATGATTTAAAGATATCGCGAATTCATTATCGAAGCAACGAAAATTCTGTGAGCATATTCACAACATTGCAAATTATCTATATCCAAGTTTTGATTTCACGATGTATGTACTGTCAAATGCTATTGTGACAGAAAAGTGTTATTATGTTAATGTAAATCAAGTAAATGTTAGTGCGTTTTTATGAAGAAAAAAATGTCGAAAATTTTATCCAAATTATGTGACACACTTTTTTTCTTTAATCTTGTTTCATTTTATTTTGTCTAACACATAAAGTCAGTTTCAAAACAAAATAATTCTCTTAAAAATTCATTTATAGTCTCCCGCAAAGTTTTCTGCATTTATTGTGTGTAGCAGTCATTTTTAGATTTATATTATAATAGCTCATATAAGTACTTGGAATGGGAGGGACGCAATCAGTCCCGCAACAAATAATGAAGAGAAAGAATAGCGATCTTAAAACTGAACCTGAAGATAGAATTGATGTCGATAAACCACTCTGGAGTCAAGATACGTATTTCGGAAGATGGATGCATTACGCCTTTATCACTGATTGTCGCACGATATTTGTACCGACAAGCAAATTGTGGGAGGCAAAGAAACTCTGCGAGGATTATAAGTGAATTACAATAATGCAGTTTTTCATGTTTTGAATTAATTTTATGGAAATATTAAATAACAAAAAAAAAGGATAAAAGATAATACTTGCTAATTATTTATCCATTGTATATAAACAGATGTTATTTTTATACAAGGTGTCCAAAAGTCCCGGACCGGTCGAATATTTCATAAACTATGCACTTTAGAAAGAAATGTTTCAGACAAAAGTTATATGGCTTGAAGAGGGCCATCAGATAGTGGCAATGATTTAACATGAAAGAGTCATTTGAAAGTCACGTGAAGATCACCGTCAAAATTTCTTAAATGGAACTCCCTATTTTTATTAAATATTCTGGTAGCTCACGTCGAGAGCTTTCCAAAACACTATAATTAAGTTAGTTTTCATTAAGTACTTTCCGAATTATGAGGCTTGAAATCATTTCTTAATTTTACATAAACCGTAAAATATCTTGTAAAATATTCATTTTTCGATTATCTTACCATAATAATTTTATGTACAAAATAATGAGAGGAATCAATTGGTGTAAAGAAAAAACATAGTTGTTTTTAAGAAAAAAATATGTAATTTGCAATTAGATTACATATTTTTTTTTAATACAACTATGTGTTTTTTTTTATTATTTTGTACATAAAAGTATTAAGGTAAGATAATCGAAAAATGAATATTTTATTAGATATTTTATGGTTTATGCAAAATTAAGAAATGATTTCAAGCCTCATAACTCGAAAAGTACTCAATGAAGAAATACTTTATTATAGTGTTTTGGAAAGTTCTCGAGATAAGCTATACACGAATATGTAATAAAAAGTAGGGGGTTCCGTTTAAGAAATTGAAGGTGACCTTTATGTCACCTTCAAATGACTCTCCAAGGTCAAATTATTGCCACTATCTGATGGCCCCCTTCAAGCCATACAACTTTTGTCTGAAACATTTCTTTCTAAAGTGCATAGTTTATGAAATATTCGACCGGTCCGGGACTTTGGGGACACCCTGTATAATAATCCTATAATAAAACTCCTATAAACAGTGGGTTATTTTAATTAATAGTAATTGTATTTTTAATTAATATTTAGAATCAACAAGGAGCCAGAGGATCTGCGAAGAGAGGACATAATCTATGCGAAAAAACTCAGGGATAGCGCCTTTCATCCCGATAACGGCGAATTTATGCATGTGATAGGTAGAATGTCCTTTCAGCTACCAAGTTCAGTCGCTCTCACCGCCGCTATGTTGACTTTCTACAAGTGATTTGATTTTCCGCATAATAAATAATCATCTCTCCGCACATATAAATAATTTTTTCAATTCAACCTATTTTTATGCGCGCACTTTGATCAGATCCGCTTATGGTGTGATAGCGTGTCAATTGGTTAATCAAGGTTTCAATGCGTTTGTCAATTACACTAATCGAAATGCGATGAATGAGGATCCGCAAGATACCAATGTGATCCAGGCATTCATACTCGCGACTGCAGCGAGTTGCGCGGCCGCTTTGGGATTCAGGAAGCTGTACTCTGGCAGAGGAACCCTCTTTGCAGTTAATTCGTGCATTTTAAGCCAGTCTTTTTGCCCCTATTTAGATAAAAAAAAACACGCAAAAAACTTATCATTAAAAGGAATGTTTTATCATTCAAAAAGAACAGCTACAGACTGTTAACATAAACCTCATAAATTTAGAAACATTAAGACTTTCGTTTAAATTTTTCAAACTATTACTCTTTCAAATAATTGAATTTTTTTATCTTAAATCTCGACAGTCTTAAAGAGATATCAATTATAATTTAAAAATGTAAAAAATTGATGATAATTAATTGAAGAAATTATCTTCGTTTTTTTTTTGTAGAGATTTGTTCCGTTCTGCGCGGTGGCTGCAGGCAATATAGTGAATCTTCCCATTATGAGACAACGAGAAATCATGCAGGGTATCCCTATATTTATCAAGAACGAAAACGAAGTGTGCATCATGAAGTCGCAAGTGGCTGCCGTCAAGGGTATCTCCGAATGCATTTTCACCAGGATAATAATGGCCGCGCCAGGAATGTTGATGATCCCAATTATCACGCAACGAATGCAACCATACTGTTTCTACCAGCTTCGTCCGTGGATCGCTTTCCCTGTCGAAATCGGCTTATGCGCTCTCAGGTAAGCTTTATTATAGTGTATATTTATGTTGCGTCGCGTAAATTTACGCAAACATGACGGTACCTTTGCTGACATATGTTGCGCGACATCGATTTGTATGCAATCGTGTTAAACCTTGTGCAAACTGGTATGCAACAGTGTTGATACTGTTGCATCGTGTGATACTTTGAGTTGCAATGTCGATAATAAAACTAAAACAGTATTTAAAAAAAAACAAATATTAAAAAGATGTCAACATATTGTCTTTTTCATTGACAGTCTGCTGATCATGATTCCTTCGGCGCTTGCGATCTTCCCGCAGAAAAAGTAAGCTTAAGTTAATTTTCAATATTTCTAAATGAAAAATTAATATAAAAAAATTAAATATATTGTAATTTATATTAGAATAATTTTAATAAGGAATTAATATATTATATGTTAACTTTTTCTATCGAGCTCAATGAAACCAGAATTGTTAAAAATATATCCGGAAGAATACGAAATATTTCGAGAGAAAATGGGCCAGCGCAAATATACGGATTTTGTTTATTATAACAAAGGATTATAATTAATATAAATAAAAGTAAAATTCATAAATTTTCTTTTATATATCATTAGACTCTTTTAGGAAAATGAAAATGGAATTTTTAAAATGACAATTCGTTGAAGTGAATAAAATTAGGTAAGAACAAAATAATTGCTATTTGATTATTTAACAATGTTTATTGACATTTTAAATATCTTTTTCTATATTATTGTATTTTTTTATTAATTACATACGTAGCAAATTTTTTATCGTATCATTAGATATGGCAGCATTTTTACTTTTGACAGTTGAAAATGCAAGGCAGATAATACTATTAACAATAATATTAAGTAATATCTTAGTGCTTAAAATTATTCTGCACAGAAAGTAATGTTTATAACATAGGGTTAAAAACATAGGGAACTTTTAAATTAACATTAAGATGCCTGAGAGAAATCATTGAGCGCTTATTAAAATAAAATTATTGCCAAGATTTATAATTGCGACTATGTGTGACATTTCGATAAAGCACTAAATCTGTCTATTGTCAACGTTGCATCCTTTTTATATTTATCATATTTATTATGATTCTCGACTATTTATTGTATGATATTTCAACGTGTCGACGGAATTTTTTTTTATCAGTATTATATTTTGTGTCTAAATCCTAATATTATTATTAATCTCAGTGCGGGACATTGTATTCAAAATGCAATATTTCAAATCACATGAAAGAATTGACGAAAGGATAGACTCTAATTGTTAATAATCTATTAATTATATGCGCGTTTCTGATCCAGCAGAAATGTTTGACGAGTGCGTCAATTGGAACAATGACACTTACAAAGGATGGCATAACAACTTATTTAAGATACAGTTTTTAACATTTTTCATAACATTATAATCCCTTGTTAAAATACAAATACCTCGGTATTTCACCAGCTTCGCAATTTTTCTTCAGCAACTCATAGTTTTCTGGCTCCCAGCGCTGCAGAGTTGACGTCTTGATGGAACTGTGAAACGCCATCGAATGAGATAAAAATAAAATAAGAAGAGAAATAATTAGAGATATTGGACATGTAAAAATATTTACCAATTTTGCGGAAACAATGCACATGCCGTTGGCACCATAAACGTTAGTCTAAAAAGTCAGACAGATAAAATTCATAAAAAGATAAAGATAAAATGAAGATTAACATAGTAATTTAATAATAACATATGATAATACAAATGGAAGAGATGAAGAATAAAAAGATTAAGAATATTAAATAAAAATACTCACGAAACTCCGCACATCAAAATTTGTATAGGCCCGTGCAGAGGTTTAATTTTTTGCATCCACGCATATTTCTCCAATCTTTCCATTATGGGTGGCAGGATGACTAAAAATTAATTATTATTTTAATTATTTGCATGTACTATTTTAATAAGGCTGGAGACCAATTCGTAGAATATTTTAATAAGCAATTTGTTTATCGAAATAGTATTGATTTATATTTATTACGTACGCATGCCGGGTGCGCACATGATGATTCTTGAAATAACGACTTGACTAATGCCTTTCACGGCTGCTAGCTAAAATTATTTATTAATTATAAACTATTTATCATAAATTGTTTATTGCAAAATTCTAATATGTTTGAAGTATGAAGTATAAAGCATAATGATTTTTATAAGTAGAAACTTAATGCGAGAAGAGATGGACTCAAGATCTTTCACCTTTGATTTCGCAAGTTTTCTACCATCTTCGTCAATGAGATCCACACCACTTTTGATTTCGTTCTGCCTCATTAGAGGGATGTTAGCGCAATTAGCAGCCGCCACTGCTGCGAACGGAACGTACCTCTGAAAATTTTTTAATTCTTGTGTGTCTAATTCAGAGCAATCTAGGACGAGTTTTAAAAAGTTTTATTTTAATTATTATATATAAGGCATCTTTCTCTCTCTCTTTCTCGAAAAATAAAAATTCCCAATCGTATCAACTTTCCAATTTTCTCAGCAAATTAAAATCAATTATTTTAAATCATGCCAAAAAGGATTATTTGTCATTGATACAAAATTTAAGATATTCTATATAATTTTTAAATTGCCTTCGCGCGCGCAAAACTTACAGCCATCAAAGGACTTGCACGTTTCTGCCAATATGATTTACATCCTATCGCGGTTATCATCGCCGCGGCAGTGGCACTAACGTAAGCTGCACCTAGCTGATAGGTGGTTATAGGACTATTAGCATTTCTGTTGGTGTAATTAACGAGAGCGTTAAAAGATTGGTTGACCCATTGCCAAAAAACCACCGCTTGCGTTGTTCTAAAAATTAAATCAACCTTGTTAAATTAAATCAAGCAATTCAATCTTACGTTCAAAAAGAATGTGTAACATTTGTTGCAAATCATGCAAAAAAAAGAAACAAGAAGTAAAATATTACATAATTTAATAAAAATATACTGTTCATTAACATATTAAATTTAAAAATATAACAATTAAAAGTAAGTGATTGACACTTAAAACATTTAAACTAAATAACTTATATTCTTTTTCTTTCACAACTATTGTAAAATTTTCGAGATATCAATATGATTAGAAAGAAAAATTTTCAATATTGATTACAGCAAAATATTTCGAAGTATTCTGCTATTCTATAAAACCTATAAAATTGGAGCATAGCGCCGGTGATAGCCATTCCTCCTGGCACTTGGAAAGACATTCTACCGAAGACATTTTGCAGTTCGCCGGTGTCGGGATGAAAGGCTGACTCGTACAGCTTCTTCGCATAAATGACTTGCTCTCTCGTCGTATCGGCTGGCTCCTTGCCAAGCCTGTAAGGTACATACAACAATTTCCAAATGATTAGAGAATATGAAACATCGTGCAATAACAATAAATTTTACTATATTGCCGCATCTTATTTCTTGATAATAAATTTTAATTTAATAAATTTTTTACATTATAGAAATATTAAATACTGTTACTAAATATTTTCTTGATTGATCAATGAATATCAAAATTCTATAAAAATAAAAACTTCTCTCTCTAAATTGATATATTTTTACTATCACCTGTATTGTTCGCACAACTTTTTAGCAGCTAGTAATTCTGATTCGGGTTCGATGCAAGTACGGAAGTCGGTCATCCACGCAAAGTATTTCCATCTTCCCACGAAATTGTTGAGATCCCACAAGGGCTTGTCCAGATCCAATCTTTCGTTCGCCATCGTGAATAATCAAGAGATTTTTTTCGGCACAAATCTAATCAAAAATCGTAATTCGTAAGTGGAAGAAAAAGACATTGCTATAATCTTCGAAAATCAACTTCAAAAATTGGGGAAAAAATTTTTTTTCGATTTTTTTTCAAAGTACTGTCTTAAACTAATTATTTAATTATTTTTTAATATCTTTCTTTTAATTATTTTTTAAAATATTTGTAATATCTTTTTTTTAATATTTATCTGATATTTACTTATATTTATTTACTCATATATATTTAGTTATTTATTCGTGTGTATACACACACACACATACACGCGATATAAAGAATAAGCAGGATATCTAAAAAAACGCGAGAATAATATTTCAGGAAGAGACGTATATACGTATTTGATCTTCAACCAAATGATGGACACATTCGTAAACTTTTGCGTAAACTGTACCTTCAGTATAATATTACAAGAAGTCTGACAAAAGTGAGGATATATTTATAGTTTTGTTGCACGAGCTGCATATGAATATAATGCGTAGCAGTTTTAATGTACATATGAAAGGATTTTTGCTCATTATCATTAAAATATAATATTATATGATATTTTCCACGAGTAGAATGAACAACACAATTAACAATTAATGAAACAAAGGAAACCGACGTATGTAGTTAAATGTAAATTTTTTTTTAAGGAGAACAATTAACCGTGAAATTATTTTAATATACGAAATTAGTATTATTAGTTTGTTTATATACTAGTTTCGTTGGAATTTTAAAATGACTTGTAACACAACTTGTACATGTATTCTTTTTTTTAAATTTTTCCTCGTACGTCAATAATTTTGAAATTATTAATTTTCAAGTTACAATCTGGAGATATTTGAATTTGTTTTTGAAGTACGGATACACAGGGAGAGATTTTTCTTTTTCATTTGTATTTTATTTAATTTATTTTATATATCAAGAGTTTTTTTAAATCACTTTGTTGGAAGATATTTTTTTAACGGCACAAAATATTAAAGTACGTGGTGTTTTGATCAAATTTCAACAAACTTTTTGACAAAAATCAGATTTTATATCAATTCTTTTAGATTGAAACTACAGATGCGAGTATAAAATCTCGGAAGCTTGCGCGGATCTGCGTTTAATTATCAGCTGCAGCAAGATACGAGCCCTGATATTTAGATAACTATAATGAGATTAGAATGATTCCCCGACGCAATTTAACAGTTTAAGTTTTGCAGATTCAAACATCTCTTGTAGAAAGGCAAAAATAATGATCGAAAATCTGATCGTGAGGGAATGTAATGAGCAATCATGTCACGCGCGAAATAAGATAAAGATACATTCCACGAAAGTCGCAATGACATGAGATCATTCGTAAAGTCATGACGGAATTGGTAAACAATATTGAATATTATCAGAGTTGTGCCATTCACGTGTGTCAGCGCTAATCAGCCGAGTGCAGGTCGAGATTGACGCATGAGTGTCACATGCGTCAAGGGACCCGACACGCGTTTTCCAATAGTTAATTTATTTAATTAAAATAAAAAATGTTTTTTCAAAAAAAAAAAGAATACTCCCGTCTGCTGCCAACAAAAAGTACATACATTTAAATAATTACAAAATAAAAAAGCAATTAATAAATTAAATAATAAAAAAATAAAGAAAAAATAGAAAAACAAAAGTAAACAACAAATAAAAATCTAAAACAAAAAATAAAAGAAATTAATCAAATTAATTAAATTAAATAAAAAAATAACAAAAAGTAAATAAGAAAATTAAACAAAAATATTAAAAAATGGATTGAAATTTCATTAATTCAATTAATCAAAATGAAACATAATATGTAAACTCGAAATGATTGGTTAAATAAAATTGGTTCCCTTCGCACTTATATTGCCATTTAATGTAATTAAATCAGCCTTAACTTGATATTGCATGCTAGTATAAATTTATTTTTTTTTTTGCAAGAGTTACTTTCTCCGGGGTTTTCTCCTTCTATCCACCTTATCTATCCAGTGTGAACGACTCTTTATCATTTCCAGTCATTAACAAAAACGTGTGAACATGGCTTAACAGACGTGGACGTACCACACGCTCAGGGCACACAATTTTCACAGGACATACACGCATTGTGTCAACACTCCTGTCTCACGTCACTTTGTATTTTTCCAACTGATATCGACCCCATCTCGAAGAAACCGCGGCCGCGAAGGGCGACCCAATTTTTCCGATGAGCATGTTACCTTTATCGTTGCACCGGCAACCACGGTGGTCCGACCGATTGCTTTTTACATTAAATATACGTCCGGCTACAACATAGACATGGGGAATTTATCGGTGCAAGCGATTTATCTTCGTCGCACTTGCATCGCTTACGCAACGCTTTATTAAAGCATAAATCCGTCACTCACCGTGAGACCTCTGGAGCCGCGCTCGGCCGCTTCTCGAAGTCGACGTCGACGAGAACCGAGGAGGAACAGCAGAAGGCTCCTTGTTACGCTACTGTCACCACACGCACACCCTCGGCGAGCGTATCCTTCAATGGAGTGGTCGCGCTAAACCGCGTTCACATCATTGTAACGTTGTTTTCATCAGCGTCGACGTGCCCCAACTTGACATCATCATCCTGAAATAACGTCATATTTTAATTACTGCAAATTTTCGGGAAATCTGAAATTGATTGGTAACATTGCCTGCGACCTGTGCCGCGATGAAGGCGAGGATCCCGGGGACGGGGCTCGTCCGGGGACCTTCACGGAGCAGTACGGACCTGGTGCGATGACCCGCCTCCAGCGCGCGCAAGCGCACTGGAGCTGACGGAGCGGCCAGCTGTGCTGCCAGGCTGTATACTCCTCTATCTCTCAATGCCCTTACTTCCTCCCGCCCCCCTGACCCTACAGCCTTACTGTCCGCCTCATGTGGTTTCCACACACAGCCGTTGCCGTCGTGTTCCTCACGTCATCCGGCTTCGGCTGACTAGGAACGAGCGAGCAAACGATAGAGAGAGAGAAAGAGAGAAAGGGGCGGTGCGTCGCGACGCAGAGGGGCGGCGAGAGACGACGACACGAGACGAGCCGATCGCTCCTCTCGGTCGGCTCGGTCGGAGCGGAGCGGACAGGAGCGGAGCGAAGAGCGCGAAGCCCATACCATACCGCACACCACCAGCTTGCTCGCACGCTCGCTCGCAATAACTCTAAATTCGAGGCAAGATGGCGGCCGCAGCGACGGAGGCCCCATCCGCGCACCTCGCGCTCGCCACGGGCGAAAAGATCCTCGTGACCGTCGAATCCGCGCTGCCCGACATCCTCGTGGTGTCCTTCGTCCATGGCGCCAAGTGCTTCCAGGGTGTGCTCCTCGACGCCGCCAAGAGGTAAGATCGAGGAAGGGAAGGAGCGAATGAGAGAAGGAACTCGTGGATCCATCAGTCTTTCTTTTTTTTTCTTCTTTTTATTATCCCCTTTTGTTTAGTGAGAATCATTGTCGGAATTTCTATTGTCGAAATAATGCCCGACTCGATTGGCCACCGGTTAAGGGGAAAAGGGTTCTTGGGCGATTTACAGAGCCCAAGGTTCCCGACGGCTTCGAAGAGAGAGAAGTTGGAGGTGATTCATCGATCTGACGATCCTCAGGATCAGACTTTGCAAAGGAGTGATGATAGATTCTAGATAGTGCTGGATTGATATTAATGATTGGATCTATCGGATCTCGCGGGTTCCTAGACGATTTTTGTTCTTGAACCTGAGGACAATACGCGTTAATTGTGTTGGAAGGTGCTTCGATAGCTATTTGGGAAACAGAATGACGAATGCATAATGGAATGTTTAAGGGAAAACTTGACGGCCGAGTCAACTTGTTGATTGTTTCAGGTAGTGAAATGTTGTAATATATGTAAATAGAGAACTAAGGATTCCTGTGGACACAGTTTTTTTGAATTTTTCCGAGTCTCTTTCGCCAATATCGTATGCCAAAGTGACAATTGTTCGACGAAACGGATATTAATGACTAGGCTCTTTTACGTCTTCTTGTGCATTATCTTGCTTGTGTGGGTCGTTATTTTCCTCGATTTCATTGTAGGCATCTCTGTATTCTAGAATACACGGAGTCAAGGACAGATCTTCAAAGCTAGATATTGATTCATGATTCAAAGTTAGATATTGCTTCATCGACAGTTGTAATCGTATTCCGATCAAAAGGAGCTAATTGTTTTCCAAATATAAATATCATTGTCATTTTTCAAAATGAATGATCTTTCTTGACTTTAATACAGTGATACTCTCTAAATTTAGAATGTGTAAGGAATCAAGGATATACAACTTTCAATTTTGAATATTCAGAGACTCGGGGATCCATAGAATTTTATCTATAATCTCTTCTATAGATTGCATTGTTATATAATTTTTCTCTCTTAATTATTGAATTTAAGAATATTTGAAGCTTTCAGAAGTCGAGAGTTATCACATGTCAAGATTGAATATATAACAGATAGATAAAAAATTTAACGGAACGAGATTTACACATATTATTCGGTTTAATATTATATAATTTGAAATATTAAACTCTCTTATAATTGTTAAAATTTAAGGAGATGTCATAAAATGTATAGATCTTTATATCTAATGTTATAAAACTTGAAAAATTGCAAAATTCGAAATAATTAATGATTCTAATCTCACAGCATAAGTTCTAAAAAGAATCGTTACATAATCGTATGTAAAATTAGGCAGCTTATAGAAAGTGTCTGTCAGCAATGTTTGATTCTCAGAATTCAAGAATTTTGAATTTTTGATCAACTTATTTCATTTAACAATATTTCGAAACATTGAAAAGATCGTAATGTATGTAGGTATTTTTTTCACTTAAATTAATGTTTTTAGACATACTACTTGTACTTTTACATCTAATTAATTATTAATATATTATGTCATTTACGTAACATTAATATATTATGTCATTAACTTAGACAATTTATTATTATTTTTTATTTTGCTTTACGTGCTAACATCCTGCGCCACAGTCTTTCTTCTTATTGCTTATTGTTTGTTACTTCATTTATAGAATGATACATAAATTGCTTAATCAAAATGATTTAATTAAAAAAAATATATACATATATATTTTTTTAAAGGATGTTTTATATGTACAATCCCAGTAAAAAGTAGCTGAAAATCAATATTGACGAATATATTCATTTTTGGTGTATTTTGAGTAAGAAATTGTGTAGAATATTACAATTTGATCTTAGCTACAGTGCAGAGATGTATTGTTTAATATTTATTGCGTTTTTACTGAAATATTCCGAATTTTGTTAATCGAAATTATTAACTTCTGGCAGAGAATTTCGCCTTGTGACAGATACATGGCTAACTTCATTGAATTATATTTAATATCTTTTTAACCAGTTAGTACTTGTATAATATTATTTGACCAAATATTTCCTCTGTATCTAAACTTTCGCAAATTTTAAACAAATTCTATATTATATTCATGAATATTATTTTCATGTGTTTTTGTCATCTGAATCAACGTGGTTATTCGTTTTCCATAAAAACACATGTTAATTCGATGCAAATTAAAATCCTTACAACTTGGGAACGCTTTAGTGAATCGATTTAAAAATTGTACTGAAGATTTTAAACATATGTAAGGACATTCTGTACAAGTTTTATTAAATTTTCAATATTTTGAAAATAGGTTCAAAACATCCTTAAATAAATCTTTTTGGTTTGTATGTCATTCTGTAATTTAAAAAAATATATATATACAGGGTGTCCCAATTATTTTCCGTCATCTTTCAAAGACAAATTCCTGGGATCATTTGAAGACGATTTTTCCTCATCGAAAATGTCAATGAAGGCCATCTTTTTTTGCATGTTCCCGATTTTTGTCATCATATATCTTTGCAATTAAATTTTAAATTAAAACTCAACTAAAGTAAACTTTATTGAAAATTAATCAAAGAATGTGATTTTGTTAATATTTTATTTCTACAAAGCTTAGTTTACGAAAAACCCTTTATTTCCAATCACTTATAATTCGAAAATTATTAGTGCCTCGAAATTTTGAGGAAAAATCGTCTTCAGATGAACCCAGGTATCTGTCTTTGAAAGATAACGAAAGATAACTGGGACATCCTGTATATTTTTCTGTAGAAAATAGATGCGATAATTTTTTGGGTAATCTTTTTTGTTATCGTAGATGAATTGTATAATCATAGTATTTGGGAATAATGAAAAAATGAAGTACAACATACAAGGATGTTAATTATTTCTGGTTGAGGAGATCTCTTAAAAGACGATCTTATAAGTGATTTTCGATATACCAGCGTTTATCGCTTCGTTCGCGCTCAAAATCATTCAGATATCGCGAATCTAAAATTTGGATGATAAGCTTCGCGAGATTCCGAAATATCAGGGATGACACTGTGGGGGGGGGGGGGTCGAGATATTCAATTACTGGAATCCGAGGATTAAGTTGCCCTCGGAGAACCCGACGTCGTCATCCGACGGCCGTCGCTTCCACGATAGTGTCAGGGACTTATGCAAACTCGGCACGAAATATATGTCGCTTCCTCCGAGATGTAAACAGGCCCGAGCGCGCGCCGAAAGCTGCGCGATAATTTCGATAACTTATCTGTTGAAATAATTTTTAATAGGAAGTACATCCCCTCGGGCTGTTGACTGGCGCCAGTTGACGCACATGGGCGTGACAAATTTGCGAGAGTTTCCTCCAACTTCGCGCGGCTCGTTTGTCGCGAACATAAGATGCACCTCCCGGTTATTTTTCCTCCTCGCTTACGAATATATGCGTATATTTTATACATACAAGGTGTCTCGCGAAAACCGCAGGCTTTCTCTTTCGATCGAATCACGATCTCCTTCACGCATACAAATTGCAGGTGAAATTTAATCCCCGTTTTTCATCCACGATGAAGTTGATTTGAAATTAATAGACGACGTTAGATCGGTTAAATTAATAATGCGTAATGATTTTTCTTATTTAATAGGATTTATATTAAGGCGAGATGGACTCGGGCTAATTGAGAAATATTGTTGGAGTAAAAAACAAGGAAAGTTTCGTGTCACCCAGTACACGTTAAAAAGTCTTTGCCGTGGTGAGTCATGGTCTCGCATAGTAAACGCCGCCTTGGCGTTATAGCCATTGGCGTTGTATCCCTGGTAATTTCTCGTTGATACGAGTAGTCATTTCGATTATTGAGAAATCAACTAAGTAGTCGTTGCACTAGTTGAACAGCGTTTAACGTGAGTTAATTCGCAAAGTTTTGAAAGATTAGTTTTATGTATAGCCGAGACGGTGTATGAAATATTATAAACTGCATTCAGTCAAGTATTATAAACCGAGTTTATCGAATAATTAATTAATTGGATTTGATTATCAAAGTTTGCCACTCTAAAGCATCCAAATATTTATGCGTAATATATTTGTATAATTATTTATTATTAATTATGCGTGAAAATTTGTTATATTATTAATTACAAATCGAACTTATTGAGTATCGTAATTAACCGAATGTGTCAAATTGAATTTGCCCGCTCAATTCACCTTTACACAATTCCGTGCAATTATCCAATTTGTTTAATTCGACTTCGAAAATGAATATAATTCTGATATTCCGCCTTCGAGAAAAAGTTGTATCGCGGTTTCTGTCCGAGCGTCTTTTATTTAAACGTGTCCCGTTCGTCCAGGTGGCAATTTTGTTCATGCAATCGCTAGTTTTATTCGTCTCTCCATGCAGTTGTCTTTTTTCTCAGCGTACATTGCAGCCGGGGATATGTGCCCCGTGAGTCCAGAGAGCTGGGCTTCTCGCTACAACTGAACAGCTGTTGCCTGTTTTCTTACCCCTGCGCTCTAGGTTTTCTTGGGCAAGCCAACTAATGGCAGTCTCGTGTCGCAATTGCACAACCAAGACTGGCCTTAAGCAGAAGCGAAGGGACTGTTTAAGGGCCGATCAGTAATATATCTGAATTTGGAATATCATTATAATTATTGAAAAGACATCGTTCCTTTGTGACTATCAAGGATGGCGAAAAACTTGTTTTTATAAATTTTAAACAAAAAAACATTGTTTTTTTGTTTAGAACAATGTTTTTTGTTTTATTTGTGTTTTTAAGTAAAGGAAAAAAAGAACATGTTTTAAACAAAAAGAGCATGTTTTAAACAAGCAAAAAACACTTAATAGCTTTGATCTGTGTAAATATTTACATTTTTCGCTAGCGTTAAACTGTAAATAACGTTGCCAAAATTGAAAACGCTATTAAAAATATAAATAATAAAATAAAAATGATAAGATGGGTATTATTTTAGCAGAATATTTATTTTTAGATATTAAATAACAATCAATAAAGATTATTTAGAAGATATTGACTTTACATTTTATATTTTAGCATTTTAAATTAATACATAACTCATAGCAGGTCAGTAGTTCTAAAAAAAAGTTCTACTTAATAATATTTAATATATAATACTTTAGTTCCTTTCTTATTCTTATTAAGTAACCTTATTCTTATTAAGTAACCTTATTCTTATTAAGTAACCTCATGCTTAACTCTCAACATAAATTATAAATAAAAGAAAAATAAAAAATCTCAATTCTTCATTCTAAAAAAAGAACTTTTTTGAACTACTGACCTGCTATAAGTTATGTATTATTAATTTAAAATGCTAAAATGTAAAATGTAAAGTCAGTCAATATCTTCTAAGTAATCTTTATTGATTGTTATTTAATATCTAAAAATAAATATTCTGCTAAAATAATATCCACCTTATCATTTTTATTTTATTATTTATATTTTTATATCTATATGTTACATAAATATAGATAAAAAACTAAAAACACTAAAACAACAACTTTTTTGCAACATACACATCTATTAATTTTTCTTTGTTTTTGATTTTTTTTACAATTTCTTTTCCAAATAATCATATATTTTATTTGCGATATTTTAAACGGTTCTAAACAGTAGTTTAAAACAGTTTAAAACAAAAATGTTTAAAACAGTGTCCACTGTTAAACAAGTTTTAATTAAACAGTTTTAAACACATTGTTTAAAACATGCCAACCCTCATGACTATTGTTGTGTAACAATGACATTAATGTCATTCTGCTTCCTGATGAGTAATATTTGATATGACAATATCGGATTGTGTTTCTTATTTATTGCACACTTAATCTTGCATTTACTTTTGTATTTTATAATATATGCTATCAAATTTTGACTGAACGAAATATCGGAAAAATAAGTAGGTGGGATTCTTGCTTACGGCCCTGAATGTTAGTCGGGGCCACCGACCAGCCAGGCCTGGCTTGTGTCACGTTGTGCACGACGGTATGGTGCGACAGAGGTTCCCATATCGCTTTTTCCACTACATATTCCATATTTCATTCCAGAAAAATCATTGATACTAAAATCAATTTTAAAAGAAATTTATAGAAGGTATTGGCGTAATACTTACACACTTATCAACTAGTAAAATTATTTTCTGAGCAAAAGAAAAAATTAATTTTGCCTTGTCCTTTCCAAGAAGAATATTAGTAACAAGATCAATTTCTGAAAAATTGTCATTTTTGGCTTTGATAAACACAAATGGTATTTATACTATTTAATAGATACATAGAAATTACATATATATTAATTTATTTTAATAAGATTTTTCTTTGTCAAATTGTCAAGAGAGTAGATCGTTGTCGTAGAATTTTTATTAAACGCTCTATTATGTCCACATTTAGCAAAGATTGACTTGAAATCGATAACTTAATTAGTAGGTGACAGTCCAAGGACATGAATTTATTAGACTGCGGAACGGAATTTATTGATCTTTCCGACGTCGAGCCAAAACACGTCCCAGCTGTGCAGCTCACGTACGATCCAAGGTTGAGAACCTCCAATATAGTGGTCTCGTGTTCGTCAGGAACAAAGGGAATATCGTCGACGTCTCTGAGAACGCCACCATTTGCGGGTCGAAACTGCGAATGTGTGCGTGGACACAAAGCAGAGAAACAGCCACGTATACCACGTACACTGTAGTCTACATTAACCGCCTGCTTTATTAACTTAAGAAATGAGCCAGTTGTTACAGTTGTTTTTAACGAGATAATTGACGTCAGAAAAATAAATTATAACTGAAATTAACTTGACTCCGTCAACTTGAAGATTAACAACATTCGATGTTTTATTAAATAAAAGCTTCCGGCTATTTAAAAGTCCCTTTAAGTTTATTGAAATTTAAAGCTTAAGCAAATGCTGAAATCTCAAACGTTACGATTCAAGTTAGGTTAGGTTAGGTAAAATGAGTGGAGAAGAAGAATTGAAGCGGTTCTCTTGGGATTTTCACACAAATTTGTATAGGAGCGTGTTGTTGCGCAAATTTATTAGAAATTCGACCACCGGGGAAGGGGAGGGACTGTTCGAATTTATCAGTTTCATCATAATCATTTTCGTCGTAGCGAATTTGTCGATTCCCGATATTTTCCCCCCCGGCAATTTTTCTTCCCTCGCTTGGACTGACTCGGAATTTCAAGGGTCTCGTATCGAAACCCAGAAAATATTAATGGATATACCGTCCAGAGGCTGTCGCTCATTGTACGCTCCTCTCGAATCAATACCATGACATGGCCGTGTTGTCGGTGCACGAGAAGCCGACGAAGCATACCCGAAAACGTTGCCCAATTTTTTACCTAGCCATTCTCATTTTGCGATTCTCAGTTTCCACCCGAAGGCTTTAACGCTGATGATCTAACTCTCTTTACCACTATGGACTTAAGAAAATTAATCCTAAAGTCTCGGGAAAATATTTAGAAGGCGTAAAAAAATCGGACTTAGAACATATCTGCGTAAAACTTTGTGAGGAAACAAATCACTTGTTACTCTTAATCAGGCCCGTAATCAGAGAGGGCAAATTGGGGCATTGCCCTCCCCTCCCTAGGGATTTCATTTGCCCCCCCCCCCCCTGGCAAATTTTTATCTTATTTGTTTCCTAATGCTATGCATATTTAAGGGCAATAAAAGAATTTTTTTTCTTTCATTTTTAGAAACTATTATGTTTCCTAAGAATTTTCAATGACGAGACAACTCGAAAATTACAATTATTTTAACATTTTAACATTTACTTGATTGTAATTTTATATCACTGGTTTTTCTTATGAAATATTGCATCGATATTTAAATAATAAAAAATAATGTATTTTGTGCATTGGAAAAGAGTTTTTGAGACTGCCCCACCTAGAATTTTATTTGCCCCCTCTAACATAACGGGCTGGTTACGGGCTCTTAACGATAAAAGTTTATGTAGACTATTTGCAAAATCTTCCCGAATGTAAAAAACGAAAAAGTCAGAGAAATTACCGAAGCGGAATTTTATATAAAAAAAATCGAAAAATATAACAGATATTCTTTATAAAAGGACAAACAATTATTTTCAATTTTTTTGTCATTTGATTTGTTTCAAGCGAATTCATCATCACCGACTCAATTAAATCAGGTATTGTAATTTCAACAAAAATTCCTGTATAAATAAGAGGATACATTCATTATTCATTGTATAAAGTTCAAATTGTCAAAGTTCAAATATTCGAAGATACAAAGTAAATAAGGTATCATGATACACATTTTCTAGCATTATTTCAATATGGAAGCGTTAAAATAATTCGTTACGAATTATTATGTTTCCGCAGAGGCCTTCCCTGCGGTGTTCAACCCCCGGAACCAGTACCGGACCCCGATGGCGACAAGCTGGCGACGATCGCTGCGCGCTTCAGCTACTTCCAGGAACGGAAGAGCGCATCGTCAGCGTCGTCGACCGCCGTTGTCACCAAGGTTGACCTTCGCAAGAGCATCAATCCGCCCGCTAGATACAAGAATGCAAGACCTACGGTGAGACTGAGGCCTCGTCAGGTGCTCTGTAGCAAATGCCGATCGATATGTAATGAAAACAGCGAGAATGTCGACGTGAGCAGGAAGCGAAAGCATGAAGAAGCGCAGCAACAATCGCAGCAGGTATTACGAATGTTGCTTGAGATATAACGTGTATACAGGGTGTCCCAGTTATCTTCCGTCCATTTTTCAAAGACAGATTCCTGGGATCATTTGAAGACGATTTTTCCTCAGCGAAAATGTCAACGAAGGCCATCATTTTTTGCATGATTTTTGTCATCATGTATATCTTTGCAATTAAGTCTTAAATTAAAACTCAACTAAAGTAAACTCTATTTAAAATTAATCGAAGAATGTGGTTTTGTTAATATTTTATTTCTACAAAGCTTAGTTTACGACTAACCTAACCTAATTTCTACAAAGTTTAGTTTACGATTAACCTAACCTAAACCCCTTATTTCCAATCACTTATAATTCGAAAATTATTAGTGCCTCGACATTTTCATTGAGGAAAAATCGTCTTCAGATGATCCCAGGAATCTGTCTTTGAAAGATGACGGAAGATAACTGGGACACCCTGTATGTAATATAAGGAAATTGAAAAAGCTTGAACTTGGCTGTTTTTATCTTTTTAAAAACTTGAAATTCATATAACTTTTCATATCGTTAAATGCAATAACGCAGATCAATAAATCTAGGATCTTCTGATAAGAATCTTAGATTTTGATAAGCGATCGATTTTTTTTGGTAACGTTAAACCTATCAATCTTATCAAAATTTTAACGAAATTGCTATATGTTAGATCTGCGATCTAAATCAACTTGTATAATGCACGAAAGTAAAGAACTTTTTTTACCGATTCTACCAGCTGGTTCCGGGATCGACGAGAAGAAGTGACCGACGTTGTGGTCAACAACCGCAAAAAACACAGCGAACGCTGTTATCGGAATGTCAGACGGAAAATTCGATCTCCAATCAAGCGACGACGAAGATGACAACCTCGATTGGTGCTGATTCTTCGAAGCTGGGGGCGTCGTTAATTCCGAAATTATCGAGACTGCAGCCTAATGAGATCAGTAACGTGATACAAAGCTCCAATCAATTATCTGGTACTTTATTTTTCACATATATTTGCTATGCTTTCAATGAAAAGAACGTTACGAATTAACGTTAGGATATTAGTGTTGGAAAATTTAAAAGCACAGCTCGAATGAAATTTATGAATATAAGCGATTTAGACTTTGATTCTTGTTTTGCAAGTCAACCTTGTGTGGAAATATTAATAGTTGTGAGATATTTTAATCAACTTCTTTTCTTCAGTAAATAATTTATATTCTTGTGATTTATTAATTTTCTAGACTTTGATCATGTGTTGTCAATTGCTACATATTAAACATGAGAAACTAAAGAGCATAAATTATACTAAATTATGTCTAGCAATTATTAAAATCAGTTATATAAGAACGAAGTTCGAAGCTTGAGAATAATAAACTTATTACAATATTGTTAGCAAATATGTTTCGATAACATAAAATTTGCTAAATGTATCGTTTAATATATATATGAAAAAACAAAAATGAACATATGAGAATTTAGTTTTATGTAAATTATTAATATCAAATTATATAAATATATATATATATATATATATATATATATATATATATATATTGACAGAGGCACTTTTAGAAAAAACGTTTGATACAAAAGTTTATTATTTTTTCACGTACAATTCGAATCTATAATAAAAAAATACCATGTTTCCCTAAAAAAATTCAACTTCCGATCCGGATCGCGTATTTCCGGTCGGAATCAAAAGTTGAAAATATCACCATTTGATAGAGCGTACTCGATTTACTTAAAAATTGTTCGCGGTTTTTGAAATTAAAAGCCATTTATTTTTATTTTAAAAGGGGTGTACGAGTGGTCTGGGATACCCTGTATATATTCTAATTTATTTAAAAATAAAATTAAATGTTTTGTAATTTTTCTTGTTTTTTATTTATATTATTAAATATACACGTCTCAAAATCTAAAATGATATTTAAATAATCTAAATTCGAGTACGCCGTCAAGAAAAGATCTAACATACTTAGACTACATACGATTGTTTCAGACAAGATGAAGGTTGCAGCGAGCGCGCAATCTACGCATTGGCCTGTTGGCAACGAGGAAGAAACATCTTTAAGGAATGTATTAACGTCATCGCACGAGCGGGTAGAATCGTCCGCCGACTGTGACAACAATCCTTCAATGGCCTATTGCGCTACGCCGAGAAGGCTAAGTAGTTCGTCGGTAGAAAGCGCAAAAGTTCCTGAGGAGGAGGAAAAGAAAACCTTTGCAGCCGCGGATTCGACGATGAGACTGAGAACTGGCAGAGTGCCGAGAAAAAAACGCTCGGTGGGTTCGATGGAAGACCTCTGGGACGAATCTGTGTTCGAGGATCCCACGAGGATCGCCAGAACCACGCCGGTAATCAAGATCTCTTTTGGCGCGCAAGGTGAAGGGACTGTACTCAAGATACCCGCGAAACCTCAAGATCCTGACGCTTACGAGCAGGAGACCGATGACGCTGATGATACCCAACATGAGAGAGATCCCTTGGAATTGGCCAGGTCCTTCGGCAACGATTACGAGGGCGAGGAGGATGGGCAAGAGCAAGTGGATCCTCAGAAGCAGGGTGGTGTGGTAAAGGACGCCAGCGCAAAGGCGGCGAAACGGGCTTTAAAGAAGGCGAAAAAGGAAGCTAGGAGAAAGATGTTGGGCGGAGTGTCACCAGCGAGATCGCCTTGCAACGGATCGCCAAGGTAAGTGCTCGACGTCAAGTGACATCGTACACGAAAATTAATAAACACATTAATCCAAAAATCTCTAATTTAATATTATAATTTATATAATTATATAAGTCAGTTATTTGTAATAATTTATTGTGATTATATTACTACATTAATTTATATAATAATTATTGAATATACAGGGTGGCCCCGAACGTTCCAACCAGACTTTGAGATCTTATAGGAAATTTAATTCTGAATAAAAAATTTCCGATAAATATGGGTCGAAAAATGCTTCCTTAAGAAGTTATCGCTTAAAAACCACTGATGAAGGAAGAGCAAAAGGTGAAAAGAAAATGAGGTAAAAAGAAAATGAAACTAAATAAATTTCTTGAAAAAAAAACGATAAAAATAAAAAATAAAAATCTTTTTCTTTTATGAAAATAAAATAATTTTTTTTAAACTAATATTTTAGTAATAGCACGTAATAGTAGAAAATGAATAAAGACGTTTTTCAAGAAATTTATTTAGTTTCATTTTCTTTTCACCTTTTGCTCTTCCTTCATCAGAGGTTTTTGAGCGATAACTTCTTAAGGAAACATTTTTCGACTCATGTTTATCGGAGATTTTTTGTTCAGAATTAAATTTCTTATAAGATCTTAAAGTCTGGCTTCGGGGCCACCCTGTATACAGAGTGTCCCAAAAGTCCCAGACCGGTCGAATATTTCATAAACTATGCACTTTAGAAAAAAATGTTTCAGACAAAAGTTATATGGCTTGAAGGGAGCCATCAGATAGTGGCAACGATTTGACCTTGGAGAGTCATTTGAAGGTGACGTAAAGATCACCTTCAATTTCTTAAATAGAACCCCCTACTTTTTATTACATATTCGTGTAGCTTATCTCGAGAACTTTCCAAAACACTATAATGAAGTATTTCTTCATTGAGTACTTTTCGAGTTATGAGGCTTGAAATCATTTTTTAATTTTACATAAACCATAAAATATCTTGTAAAATATTCATTTTTCGATTATTTTACCTTAATAATTTTATGTACAAAATAATGAGAGAAATCAATTGGTGTAAAGAAAAAACATAGTTGTTTTTTAAGAAAAAAATATGTAATTTGCAATTAACAATTACATATTTTTTTTTTTAAATAACTATGTGTTTTCTTTACACTAATTGATTCCTCTCATTATTTTGTACATAAAAGTATTAAGGTAATAATCAATATTTTACTAGATATTCTAAAGTGCATAGTTTATGAAATATTCGACCGGTCCGGGACACTCTGTATGTGCATGTGTTAAAGATTTTTAACAAAGAAAGAAGTAAAATGACATGTCACATTATATATTCATTCAGATATAATCCCACGTACGATCCACTCTCGTATCACCGTCGGAAACACAAAGTGAAACATAAAAAGAAGCATAAGGAGGGCCGGAAACACAAAAATCAATCACAACAGGAACAACCGGAGTCTGAGCAACCTTGTCCGGACTCCGCGGAACAGGAACAAACGGAGCAGGAGCAACATCAGCAGCACCAGCAAAACTGGAATGTTTTGCCGGGCAGCGGTGAATCGTATAGAGCTATCAAGGAGCAGTGCCTGAAGCAAAAACTGTCGATATCCTTGAAGAGGCTCAACACGAACGCGTATGCGCGCTGCGATTACCCCGTGAGCAACGCATCGTCCGGTTGCAAGAGCTCCGGTGGTAGTAGCGACGAGCTGAGCGAGCACGAGCCGGAAGTAGAGACCGCGCCAGATTTCCCACCGCATCAGTCACATCCTCTGGTCATGCGCTTAGCCGCTACCCCTGTGGCACATTGTCTCACGGCTAATGGCAAGCGAATGGACGTGGGCGACGTTGTCTGGGGTAAAATCCATGGTTTTCCCTGGTGGCCCGGCAAGGTACGTACAGAGTACTCCAAAGGAGCGATTCTCTTTGCGATTAATAAATCTTTAATTCGACATTACACCAATATAATTCTTCACACAAAGATCCCAAGGAACACACTAAAATCAAGAAAAAGTCAAAATGACTTTATTTTGATTCGAAATAGTCAGTGTGACGAAAATTTAACCTCAGTAACATATACTGCTCGTGACGGAAAAATGACTTTGCGTTTGTCTTGCAAATTTAATATAGTAGTATAGTATTAAGTTTAGTATGCGTGAAAGTTCTGAAAATTATTATTAATGTATATGGCTTTATGTCACTTCGATGTCGTCAATGGATCATTTTTTATAATTTAATAGCCTTTTTATTATCATCTTACTTTTATATACATTTATACAATGAGTTTCTACATTTGCCGCTACGCGGCGTACCAAACTTAACTAAACTCGTATTCAATTTTTCGTCATGAATGTATATAAAGGATATAGATAAAGTGCTGCTAAACATTAGGTAAGATCTATAGTATATTTTTTTTGTTTTTGTGAGCAATAGTGCCAGAAAGAGGACGATGCTCATATGCACACAATCAGAGAACTACCTAGCAGCTCTCTGCTTGTGTGCGTATGGGTAATATTCTCTTCCTGTTCCTGGCATCACTATTTATCAGTTTAATTTCTAATAAACCAAATTAAAAATAATTTATTTAATAATCTGGATTTCTTATTGGATTCAAAATATTAAACAGATTATTTGAAATTAGGTGGATATAAATGAGAAATAATCCATTTATAGCGTATATTAATAATCGTCAAATTTTGTAACCAAAAATCGTCATTTTGATTTCTTCTATTGTGATGTAATTATGACGTCATTTTGACTACAATGTGTTCTTTAGGATACGCTGAAATTTTGGAATAATTATTCTTTTTTTCGTACGGGTTTCTGCCTTTAGAAAAATCACAATCTTGAGAATTTATCCTAGTTCCATCATAATAACTATCATCATATTTGGAACACGCAGGTCCTAAGTATCACAGTGTCCTGCAAGGAAGACGGTACCTCTTCGGGTCCTCAAGCTCATGTGGCTTGGTACGGATCATCAACGAGTTCGCTAATGTCCTGCGATCAACTGAATCCCTTTCTGGAAGCCTTTAAAGTATGCCCTTTTGAATAATATATGTAATAGCAAAAATATAAATATAAAAAATAAATTTCAAGGCATACGAAAAAATTAAATTTTGAAATTAATTTTATGACGACAGAAAAATACGTGTCGACTTTTGAGAACTTGTCAATAATAGTTAATAGTAAATTATAATATATAAATATATTATATAAATAATAGTTAATAATAAATATAAATAAATATAAATAAAATAAGTATATTATATATAATAAATATAAATAAAATAAGTATATTATATAAATAATAGTTCATAATAAATTTGGTTTGTTTAGATGCGGTATAACAAGAAGAAGCGTGGGCCGTACAAGGAGGCGATACGGCAGGCTCAGAATGAGGCTCGGAGTCAAATCACGCCTAACTCAACTAGCAGCGTGTTGAACGTTTGCGGCTCGCCCCGTGAGGTCAACGTCCTCTCCTAAGGGAAGTTTTCTGACAACCATTCCTTACTGCCGAGCATCCGTCGGCGTGATAATTGAAGCGCTCGCGGCAAGAAACTACTGACTGAAATATAAACGGGAAATAATTTTCTGAACCTTTGTATAACATTTTTCATCGATTTTACATTTCTGTCTTTTTCAAATTTTGCGTATTAATTGCAAATATTTTCATAAAATGTTGAGGGTTCAATTGGTAGAATTTAAACGTTTGCATTAAAGTTTATCGAATTTTTAATTCAACTGACGATTCTCAGATCCTGAATCATTTGTTTTAAAATGTATGAAATTTAAAGTGTCTAAACTACAGATCTTTGATTAGACTATTTTTATACTCGATCTTATCGTGTATTTTTTTATCGTAATAGTTGTTATTGTTGATCACAGTAATGACTGAAATCCGCTGAGATAACGCTTTGACGTCACATGTACAGATCAACGATGACTTTCCGTGAGCGCTTGCAACGACGGATCGGAATTGTGTAACATATAAAATTTTGTACATACCCTTTAGCGCTAATGAAATAGTTACTGATCGATGTTCTGTCAGCCATTTGTCTCGCAATCAATCGCTTAGAGCTAGTCGTAATCGGTAATTTAATTATCCGATGAACTATCTTTTTTAGTTAATTCGATTTTTCGTTTCATAAATCACAACTTTAATTATATTGTTAACAAATAGATATTTTTTTAAGTCGTTGACATGCTATTCAAGATTCGCAGATTATTTTGGGAATTCTGAAGTTATAGAAATGGCAATATCTTTGAATTTTTTAAAAGTATATATATATATATATATATATATATATATATATACTTTTAAATATATATATATATATATTTAAAAGTATTATTTAAAAAAATATATATATATATATTTAAATATATTATATATATATATATATATATATATATATACATATATATTTTTATATTTGTAAACCTTGAAATATCGAACATAATAACCTACAGTAAAAAATTTTGTGTTAAATTTAACATATTTCACATGTCCCAATTTATCCATTCTAATTTTAATGTTAATTTAATAGAAGGCAAGTATGTAAATACATAACACAAGTAATATGTTTAAAAATTAACACAAAAGTGTGACACTTAAACTTTATCTAGAAATAAAGTTTATGTTAAATTAACATATTTATAATGTTAAATTTAATTAAAAGGAAATATTATTCTTACATTTTTATGATAAATAACAGAAGAGATATATCGATTTAACATATCGAAACTGTTATAGAGAGAAAAATAACACAACTTATCTGTTCATTTTAACATACTCGTATTTCATAAAAAATTCATGCATTTACATACTAATTGTGTTGTTTCAACTCTTAGAAACGGTGAATATTAACTCAATGCAGAAATGTTAAAATAACGCAATGATAATATGTTACATTAACGTAAGAGTATGTTAAAAATTTAACACAAAAATTTTTACACGAGAAAATTTTAATAGAAATACAAAATGTTTTTTAGATGTGTAGATTCTATCTCATAGAATTGTAATATTTAATTTTAATATTTTAATAATATTGTAACATATTTCTGTGGTGTCTGCGGTAAAATCATATTTAAATATAAATTATTATTTATCTTGGATATGTTTATCTTGAAATGTTTGTGCGGTCGACTAGCTCTCGGCGAATCAAGTAGCGAACATTTACTGCCATCGTCACTGGCTTTTCTGTCCTCGGCTTACCAAGCGGACGATAGCGTAAAAGTCTTACTATCTAGATATCTCTAGACTAATCATAAGTATTCACTGTGAGGTTCGTAATTTCCTTCGTTGATTAATCTATCAAATATCTCGGCCGATGTGATTCGCTATACTATCCAAAAAATTAATGATCAAATTATTACTAAAAATTTAGCAATTATCTGAGATATCCACTATCTCAGGCTGCACATGATTATATGCAGTATATTTTTCAGATTTAATATGTATACATAAAAATTAAGAAAAAAGTACTTATATGTATATACATTTTTAATTTTTATCTATGTAGCGACTTTGGGGCTTTTTTGAGAAAGAAGAAGCGACTCATGTTTGAAGGATTAGATAAATGAATATCAGTAATTGTCATTAATTATTTTCGACGGCCATCTCATAGTGATTCGATCCGCAGATTTAACTGGACAAGAAACGCTGCGTATGCTTGGGATTGTATTTAAATGTAAATTTTTATTCCTCTCCGAGACAAAGACAGCCAATGTTTACGCTTCGTGCCAACACTGCCGTGTAATTAAACAATCGATCGTTTGATCTTTGAGCAACGACAATTGTAAAGCAACTTTGTACAACAGCCATAGGTAAATTTCGATTCCTAAAAGCATTAATTGACAACAGAAGCAGAATTTTTTAAAAGAAACTTATGCGGTAATATAAAGAATTTGTAGCCTCAAACTGAAAATTAAAAAATTTAAATGTTGTATGAGTTTTTTCATAGTCTTAAAAAATTAATAAACAGAATTCTAAACAGAAAATCACGTTTATGAGTTATCAAAACGATAAAAATTTGCTAAGCTTTTAATTCAGCAACATTAATTGAAAAGGAAGAAATGCAATTTATTAACATTAATTATTGCAACCTATAAAAAATGCCATAGTTACACTGAGCATTCGCGATTTATCAAAGAAAAAAAAGATAATAATTAGATTGGATGTTTATTTCAATCCTGAAAAAGATATTGGAAAACCGCAAATAGTACTTAAAAAATCCTGATTATTGTTACATCGATGTTGTGCCACTGCCTCGACGCGATTTTCTTCCATAAAAATATTACTTTGTCTAAATGACAAATTATCGATTAATTTCCATTTCGCAATATGTTGGAGATGTACATGTCCTGTATGGAAAGATCTTTTTTTTTTGAAAAATTTTATTCGAAATTAATTTTCATGAAATTGACCGTAAGAAATTATAAAGTGATTGCAAATTTGGATTAGAAATGGAATAACTTTTTAATTTTCTAAATCGAATGCTACAAATTATTAGAATATTACTAATTTTTTAATTTTACTAGATTGAGATTTAGGAAAATATTCGATTAATCGCGAAATAAATCTGCATTTTACAAAAAAATAAATGTAAAGAATCCTACAAAATATCGATTGCGGTTCATACTTTTTGTTTAATTATTAATTTGATAATTAAACATGGGCAATTATTCCCGACACGTGGACTATAAACCGGTGCGAGTAAAAAATGTATGCATGAGAGAAAGACGGAATGAGAGAGAAAAAGCGTGAGAAAAAAAGAGATAGGTTGAAAGGGAAAAGAGTGGAAAGTAGGGTGTTTTAAGTAACTGTGATTTTTTTTGCAAAATGTTTTATATATATTATATATATGTACGTTATATACATAAATATGAATTAATTTCTACACATAATATAAACGATGTTTCGATGTCGCTGTGTTTATACAGATTAGGCTAACATATCGTTAACAAAAATGATTACTATTATGATCATTATTATTATCATTATTATTATTAATGATGATTATTATGATTATTATTCCTTATTATTGTTGCGGGGCTCGAGTATTGCTGATTGCTTGCTGTAAGTATATGAGGATAAATCGTATCGTCGATTATTAGCGCATTTTTTCCGCCTCATTAAAAAAATTAAAAATGTAAATGACTAATTCGTTACGAAAAAAAGTTTTGTGCATTTTTTATTTTCTTCAAATTTGTTTATTAGAAAGTTTTGTTATTCGTACTTATGAGGAAGGCGCCGTTTTAATTTGCATCGATTTGCCTGTTTAATTTCTTCTTGTCTAATAAGTATTTACATGTAGCAAAAAAGATATTCGTACGCTATTGTTTCGCCGTAAAATGTATTTTTCTCTAGACATAAAATTTTATTGGTGAATATTTATATATTGTTTTAAACACATAAATTATTACTATAAGTAAAATATAATATATTGTATTTATTTTGATTTTGTATTTTAGGTATAACGAAAAAATATTTTATAAAAATAAAAGATATTTGAAATCTCTTTAGAGAGAGAATTTTATTTATTTATTTATTGAAAAATATTTGAATAATTATTTGCGGGGGAAAATAAATAATATTTATGGCGAATCAATCTTGCTGTATGAATATTATTTTTGCGCGCTGTAATTAACGCGTCGATTTAGGTATTGCAATTAAATATTAATTTACTATAAAATAATATCGTAATTAATTTGGCGAAATTTCCAGGTGAACGAATCTTTTGAATAAATCGGCATATCTACCTCAAACTTGTTTTATATTTTTCAACTCACCTCTTCCGAATGACCCACATTTAGACTCAATTTAATCATCATTTTGTCATAAATATATACAGGGTGTATCTAAAATAATGCACTAAACTTTAAGAGCGTATTCTAGAAGTCAAAATAATACTCTTTTTTCTTATGAACATAGGTCCGTAAATGAATTCCCCCTCCGAGTTAAAATTCGAAAATTTGTAAAATTGACTAAACACTCGCAACGCAAATTTATTTATTATCTCTCAAGAGAGGGTGATAGGTAACGTCAAAACCTTTTTTTTCTGAAAGACAGCCAATTTTTAATTTTTTCTCCAAACTTTAGGGGCCTCTAGCTCGGAGGAGGGTTCATTTGCGACGCATGTTTATAGGGGAAAAAAGTCTTATTTTGATGTCTAGAATACGCTCCTAAAGTTTAGTGCATCATTTCAGATACACCCTGCATAACCTATATATACAGAGTGTCCCAAAAGTCCCGGACCAGTCGAATATTTCATAAACTATGCACTTTAGAAAGAAATGTTACAGACAAAAGTTGTATGGCTTGAAGGGTCCATCAGATAATGGCAATGATTTGACATGGGAGAGTCATTTGAAAGTCACGTGAAGATCAATTTTTTAAATGGAACCCCCTATTTTTTATTACATATTCGTGTAACTTATCTCGAGAGCTTTCCAACACTATAACAAAGTATTTCTTCATTGAGTACTTCTCGATTATGAGGCTTGAAATCATTTCTTAATTTTGCATAAACCATAAAATATCTAGTAAAATATTCATTTTTCGATTATCTTACCTTAATAATTTTATGTACAAAATAATGAGAGGAATCAATTGGTGTAAAGAAAACACATAGTTGTTTTTAAAAAAAAAATATGTAATTAATTGCAAATTACATATTTCTTTCTTAAAAACAACTATGATTTTTCTTTACACCAATTGATCCCTCTTATTATTTTGTATATAAAATTATTAAGGTAAAATAATCGAAAAATGAATATTTCACAAGATATTTTACGGTTTATGTAAAATTGAGAAATGATTTCAAGCCTCATAACTCGGAAAGTACTTAATGAAAACTAATTTAATTATAATGTTTTGGAAAGCTCTCGACGTGAGCTACCAGAATATTTAATAAAAAATAGATGGTTCCATTCAAGAAATTGACGGTGATCTTCACGTGACTTTCAAATGACTCTCCCATGTCAAATCATTGCCATTTGATAGCTCCCTTCAAGCCATACAACTTTTGTCTGAAACATTTCTTTCTAAAGTGCATAGTTTGTGAAATATTCGACTTGTCTGGGATTTTTGAGACACCCTGAATATACTCTATATACACCCTATTCTAACAAATTCATTCACGAGAATATATTGATGATCCACGACAACGTATTAATTAATGTCTGTTCATATGGGAAAAAAACTATTATGTTTTCACGAAGAAACCCTCGATTTTCTAGACACCCTATACATCCACCCAAATTGATGAGTTTTAGATTCGTTTAGAGGGGGTGCTTCCCCGCGAATGTGAATGCGCGCGCACACGTATCACTGATAAGAGACTGCTTCCTTTGATTTTCCAGCATAGGACCGGCGTGCCGGTCTTCGAGACCCTCTCTCGCGTTCACCGCACCCTTGTGTTGTGTTGGCGTCGCGACGTATCGCGACACGCGCTCGTTCCGCGTCGCGGAAACGAAGATGCACCGCCGGCAGGTGCACGAACTTCCAGGTAATTCGCCGACAAATTCAAAGACATATTTTAGCGCTGATCGAGAGAACCTTGCTTTCCTTTCTCGCCAAAATATTACTATAAGTATTTGGACGGTTATATGTACAGTGTATTATAGTGTTTACGCATCGAAATTGAACTCGACTATCGATTATTTGAATGGCGTAAATAATTTTTTGAATTATTTCTGGCTTACTAAGCTTTAATTGTGAGCTTTGATTATATATATTAGTCGACCACATGTTGTCTCAGTCATTGGAGATTTCTTGGAAGAATTTAAAATCAATGTCTTTTTAGTGAAAATTTAATGCACCTTTTGATTAAAATTATCGTTGAAAGTGCTGTTCAGTCAAACAAGCAAAAATAAATAAGTAATAAATTGTGCTGTGATTGGTTCCACATAAGGACACTTTATTTTATCAAAAATTTGATTGTGTGTGTTTGTGTGTATTTGATTTATTTTAACTAAAACTTTGATGGAATAGAGAAAAATTGTCATATTTTTTATATTATAATTCGCGGGTTTGTCTGTGTGAAAATTAGAAAAATGATGTTTAATATCGGTGATATAATTGTGACAATTATACGTGTCTTTGAACTTTTGTTTCAAAGAGGAAGGTTTATTCAAGTTTTATTAAGATTTTTCTAAGAAAGAGGTAGAGGAATAATCAGCATGTTGCACGTCACTAATTATATGTTATACTGTCCTATTTACATAGACAATTATACATATATTTTATTATTTATTTAATTTCTATTAATTTATATACTGGTCACGCGCGTAATACTATATGTGGTACCAATGGCACGTGTGCTGCTGCCACCTTGTATAACGGAGTCTTGTGCAATCGATCGAATAAGCACGACGTGGCGCAATCCTGGAAAAGTACTCATTTCTTTGAATCACCCTATATACAACGAGTTGTTTTAAAATCTTGAAAAAAATTAATTTTACTAAATTTGGTGTGTTAACTTTTGCATTTTATTTACTTAAGGAGAACGCATCACATATTTATCTTTATCTTTTATTAATGTTACATGAAAAAGAGTATTTTAGACATTTTTTAGTCAATAGTTAAAATTTAGTATCGTCTTTCTGATATTTATATATTTGTAACCACTCATATATTTTATAAAATCGTCTTATATAACAGATTTAATGATTTCCGGATGTCTAAAAGAGAACATATGTATAATTAATTATTAATTCAAATTTTACAATTAATATTTATTCGAAAAATCAAAATCGAAGAATATAACTTTTTTACACTTTTGGCTAAAAATCTTGAAATTTATGTAATTTGGTTAGGTTTCTTGTTTTTTTATTTTTCTTTTCTTCTCGAATTGGTCATCTCACATAAATCAAGTAGAGATATATGGGTCATGAAGGTGCTCATCGAATAAAAAAAAAGAAAAATATATTTTATAAAATCGTCTACTTATATAACAGATGATTTACTGATTTCCCGATATCTAAAAGAGAACATATGTCTAATTAATTATTAATTCAAAATTTTACGATTAATATTTATTCAAAAAATCGAAATCGAAGAATATAACTTTTTTTACACTTTTGGCTAAAAACTTGAAATTTATGTGATTTGGTTAGGTTTCTTGTTTTTTTTATTTTTCTTTTCTTCTCGAATATTGGTCATCTCACATAAATCAAGTAGAGATATATGGGTCATGAAGGTGCTCATCGAATAAAAAAAAAAGAAAAATACCACTTTGCTCTTTGAGGATCTCCTCTCGTCTTTTCTGCCACCTTCCCTTTCTTACCCACCCCTTTTGCGCGCAAGCTCCGTTCATTCACTGGCAGCTGCAGCTGCGCGAGTTTCTGCACAGGAGAGTAGGTGCACACCCTTCCGCAACTGCAGTTGGCAGTATGCTGCTCTTCGGGTTGCGAATCCGACGTTAGTTATCAGAAATCTGACAACGATTGTAATTCCTCCAAGTTTTATATACCAGTGACGTGTCCCGCGATATAGCCCCGTTCATTATCGCTATCTCATCAGTTTCTGATGAATATAAGAGCGAGCTTTTCTTCCCGATAAAAATTCTAGAGCGATGTCTTATCGTCATGGAGATTATTAACAGCGACGATTGAAGGATTGAAAGCGAAAGTGGCGTAAGTCAGCATACCTACCGGTTCGAATTTACATATATCCTTCAATTATAAAATTGTTATATATATTACGATATTATTATATTTGCATTGTCATTGTAAATAATGTTTTGTCGTTATGGACAATATAAAAATTAATTTCTGAAATCCTGAAGCTCTATAATTTTTCGCTTTTTTCCTGTGACCTATAATTAATCATAATGCTATTATAATAATGTCTCTATTAAAATAACATTGGTCTCGAAAAATTTCCTTTTAATATTAAATAAACAAGTTTTTTATTAGAAATTTTTTGCACAATGGGTATATGTATAGCATTATGAGACAATAATTATATCTTACGCTATATATATATTGTAATTACGGAGAAATTATGACACACATGTGTCATCTAGGAATATATAATGTTATATTACATGTGTCGTCTAGGATTATATAATGTTATATTTTTCATTATGTAAGTTATGCAAAATCGTAAATTGCGCTATATCTTAGTTTTAGACAAATTATGATACACGTGTCGTCCGAGAGCGCGCACAGGTATGATCGGATGAAGCGTAAAGGTGTAGCTTTCCTCACAAATCTCTTCAAATCGAGAAAGCTGACAGTAGGAATGAAGATTAACGAGGACGAAGAGATGGAACGCGCGCCTAGGGTGGAAACTCCTGGTAAGATATCATTCTTTTATTATTCTTTTATTTAAAAAAAAGAAGATGACTAAAAATTCCCAATAACATGCTGCTATTCTTTAAATTATTATCATTTATTAATTAATTTCATTAATTCGAATTCAGAAATTTAATTAAGTGCATCTTGTTTAGACAACCAGGTTTGTTGAAAAATGTAAAAATCCGCCTTCATTAATTTTATATGATTGATTTAGTAATTAATATGGAATTATTAATGTGAGAAAGCAAAATGTATTGGATGCTGTTAAATGGCAATATTTATTTATCTAAACAGTCAAAAGACAATAATAAATGCCGTCAATTATTTTAAATCTCGATGATTTTATTTCATCCTATATTTTTTAAATTTAATTAAATTAAGATAGATACTCAATTATAATAAATAACACTCAATAATAAAATTTAATATTGTTGATTTCATATATTTAATTACAAAAACATTATATATATATGAAGATTAAGAATTATATTTTATAAACATCATAATGGTTTGTAATAAAAGCATAGACCATAATCGATAACACGAGCGATATTGCTTGCAGCAATTATTACCACCGCTTGCCGTCGGAGCGGCTCGGAAAATGACAACACGATGTCTCGAATTCCGTCGACCTTGAGTGTGACAGCGGTGGACGTTGTCGTCTCCTGTCAGCCGTCACCCTCGCACTCAATTCTGACCCTGACACCCGGTAGAACACGTAACATCGATCAGGACATGGAGGCGCTCAGACTGAGTCGTCAGGACAATCCTTTCCTACAGGTCTGACCCGATTATTATTACATTATCTTATCAGATTTCGCGATCTTTTAGTCGCGAAAATATTTCGAATAATTCTCGAATACTTTAAAAAGCGGATATCTTTGTGTAAGAAAGAGAGATTTTTTTTCAATTCAGATTCCCTTTCAACTTTAAAATTTAATATCACGCGTAAAGAAAATTAATTTTTAGTTTAATATTTGTAACTTTTAATTTGTTAACTTCTGGTTATAAAAAAATAATAAAGTATTATAATAAAGTATAATAAACGCTTTCCCATTTCTTATATTCTCTATGTTTAATATATGCGTACATTTTACTTCTCCAATATACATATTGACTCACTTGTGCAAATTTTCTCTAATTATGCAGGTACTAGCAAGTCGAGAGAGCCTTGTGGAATCGATTGAGGAATCCGAGTCTGACGATGCAATTCTGATGTCGCAGGTAAGACTTGAAATTCGAATTTTTGGAGATACGATAAAATGTTAGAAATTTATTTCTAGACCAGATAATATACGATATATTCTTTCTCTTTTTCTATCATCAAATCCTAATACTCTAAACAATTTTATATATTATAAAAAAATTTAATCGAGAGCGAAATATCCCAGACAGCACACATGTCCAAAAGACATCTAAAAGACGACTTAAAGACATCTTTAAGACATCTTTTGGGCTTTTTGTGCTGTCTGGGATAGTTGATCATAGCCTTCAAATCATAAAATATTCGTACTTTCAGGAATTAGGCGATGCGGATCCTCTTACACTAGCGCAGGTACACGAGCACCTAGTACGCAGCCCACCTCCGGCTTCGTGGCCCAATTCCACGGCCTTTCAGTTCCCCCATCAGGATCAGAACATTACTCCATTCAAGAACGACGCGGTACCACAAGCTAAAAGTCCATTAAAGACACCCTCACACCGTAATAACGAGCACGAGCTCTCCAGGAGTGAGCCATTGACCGATATCAGAGGTGAGGATTCCAACAAAAAGATGCTTAGGACATACAACACAATATGTCTTCTCTATAAATTGAAAAGCTAACTGGAAATTAATTAAAAAATCAATGAAACGCCAGCAGTGCCTACGGATTACCAACTAGAGTGTTTGTTTTCTCTCTCTTTGAATCAATAATAATTATGAATTATTCAAGAAGATACATAATGAGTGTATATGTATATATGTAAGTGCGCATGTGTGAGAGAACGAAATTGTTTAATCGAATCGACGAGGAACTCTCCGCGTATCTAAGTAAAATTACGCCGACGCGTGGAAATGGATATATAGATCGGAGCTTCGGTAAATCGATCCATTCACGACGTTTACATCCGACCTTGGCATTGCACTTATGGACACGCGCAATATCTCTTTCTCTTTCTCGCGCATACACGTTGTCTCTTCTTATTTTTAACCCGAATGAATTAAGGCTTCTCGGTCGGAAATATTGTAATAATTCGCTATTCTATTGATTCCATCGAATCGATAAAGTAGGTTCAAGGACGTAATCTATCGTATTTATTCAATTTTATTCATAAATATGATTATAATAATAATTACATTTGCAATTACAATTGCATTATGATTTATACATAATTTAATTGCATTATGATTTATATGTAATTTAATTGCATTATGATTGCATTATAGATGATATTTATATGTGATTACACACACACACACATTTTTTTTACAATAATTTAAAACATAAATATATGAAATATGCATAATCATCACACAGTAAAAAATTTTGTGTTAAATTTAACATATTTCACATGTCCCAATTTATCCACTCTAATTTTAATGTTAATTTAACAGAAGACAAGTATGTAGATAAATAACACAAGTAATATGTTTAAAAATTAACACAAAAGTGTGACACTTAAACTTTATCTGGAAATAAAGTTTATGTTAAATTAACATATTTATAATGTTAAATTTAATTAAAAGGAAATGTTATTCTTACATTTTTATGATAAATAACAGAAGAGATATATCGATTTAACATTTCGAAACTGTTATAGAGAGAAAAATAACACAACTTATCTGTTCATTTTAACATATAACATATTTCATCAAAAATTTGTGCATTTACATACTAATTGTGTTGTTTCAACTCTTAGAAACGGTGAATATTAACTCAATACAGAAATGTCAAAATAACGCAATGATAATATGTTACATTAACATAAGAATATGTTAAAAATTTAACACAAAAATTTTTACACGAGAAAATTTTAACAGAAATACAAAATGTTTTTTTACCGTGCAAATATGATATTTCTCTTTAAATTTAAAATACTTGTTTTTTTATTCCAGATCGACATTCTCATCCCTTCTCGTTACTACATCCAACGCCGATTCGTTCCTTGTCGGAAGTTCGACGACTCCATCGATCGGCCGATGATAGCGTACAACTTATGTCGAATGAATAAATTTCGCCATTGGAGCTTGATTTGAGTGGTTTCTTGCCAGAGTCGATATCTAGAAGGATATCAATTTTCAATTTTGCCGACTGTTCTTCAAGAACAGCGACTGCTGACGAGTCGGAGAAAATGTCGTTTGTGGAAACGCAATTTATGATTCTGACGAAGAAAAAGAGAAGAAAAAGATTTGTGAATTAAGAAGATTACTGAACAAGAAGTACGAAGAATCGTCAAGATTTCATATTTGATCAGGTTGGGGAATGATACGTTTGAGATTGATATGATAAGATCTGAAAGCGAGTAATAATGCTTTGGAACAAGATTTTCAATCACAATTAATAATATCGTTGGAATGTATGAAATTTGGAAATTCAACAGTTTATCGAATTTCCTTTTCAATCAACTATAAAATTATTTCTCACAGAATGGGATATATATAAATATTTTCAATTTTTAATTTATTTAAATAATTTCGATTGATCTGATTGTATACATGTATCGAAATCTGTGCGTATGTAGGCGTATTAATTAATCTTGCAATAAGTGTAATTCACAATTACGATCATATCTTTTATCAATAGGCCTATTTTTTATAATCATTTTATAAGCAATCAAAATATAACATCGACACATTTTTTTCACTATTTTTTTATCTAATGATTAAATAATATATCTTTTATTTATTTTATTTATTCGCAGACAATGTACGAGTGATTAACATTAATTATTAAATGCTCGCAAATATCCAGAAAATATTTAAACTTTAGTTTTTTAAAGATACGTCAAATTAAAGAATCTAAAGATGTTGCGGAACGTATCTTACATACGCTAGCTTGTAAAAGATTTTAAGAATTGCACTATTACATAATTATTATTCAATAATAACAAAGAATAGCAAAGAATTATTATCTCCGCTAAATCGTCAGCTGAGAGAATTAGATGAATATTTAATATATCTATTGGGTTTTCAAGCTTTAAATTTATGTATAATTCGGAATTTGCAATTATATCTTTGTCTCAAAGAGCAATATATCGTTATGTAACAATCGTTATAAAGCACGCGATGCATAATTATTAAATTATTACCTATTATGAACATGATAGTATCGAAATCTGTTGTTAATAAGATAGTTATTGTTAATGCACATATCTGTAATTATTCGTGCAATTTAAATGTCTATTTTGTGTAGCTGTTTTAAAAATATTTCATATTTACTTGAATCTTTTCTATATTACTGAATATTAATTAATGTTTCTTGATTGTTGTTAAGGTAGCAAAAATATTTTTCTCGATTAATTATATATGTAAAAGTTTGTTTTTTTATATATTATATTGCGAGGAAATTATGAATGCAGAATGCACAAACATTTTTCCGCTACTAAAACTCACTTTTAAAGACGATTTAAAAATAATAATAATTGCACACTATCGAAAACTAATAATTAATGGAGAAATAATTTTAACGCTGACGATGCGCCAAATGTACAGGCCTCAATTAAACAATTCCTCAAATTAGATAAATAGACAATTAGATAGTAGTAAGATCTTTTTTATGAGACAAGGCAGTGGATAGATTTATCGATAACGATTTACTTCCGATATTGAAAGTAATATTTCTTTTAACGATAGAAACCGTCGTCAATGAATTTTCAACGAATCAGAAGTATTCTTGTTTGTTTTTCTCTTTGTACGATGTTTTTTGTAAACAATGTAAACAGAATCTGACGTGTTCTTTCTAAATCTAATTAGAAAAAAACTTATTACGAAATTATATAAAATAGATATTTTAGATTCTACTTTGTGAAAATTAAATAAGATTATTAAATTGCTGCATTTTGGACGTCAATTAGCTTAGAATTAAATATTAAATTAATTAACATATTAATTGATACAACTGTAACTATATTTTTATATTAAAAATGTAAAATTTTATTTATTAAAATTTAATTTATTATTTACAAGGTCGTTATAAAAAAAGAAAAAATTTAAATTTCGATTTGCACTAAACTCCTTGAAAGGATTTTTTAGTTTTACACATTAAATTTATTTTTAATTTATCACACATGTATTAAAAAATAAACTCTTGAACCCGTCAGTTTCTCTTATACATTTGTTGAAAAATATTTGATACCATTTTTGGATAAGTTTAAGTGATAGTAGTAATGGGTGGCCAACCGAACGCAGTAGAATTATATTTATCAGAAATATAACAATATTGAAGCATTATTATTAAAATTCATACGTATTCATATACTCATCCATGTATAAAAAATCATATAAATCAATCGTTAGGACAACTTCAAACTCATTGATATAATTGTATTATAAAGATTAAGAGTAATTGTATTATAAAGATTATAAAAAGGAGGGGGCGGATTTTTCTCTATGCAAAAGTATCTTATAAATATATATGTCTCACTTCGGTCGCGGCCACCCGCCGATGAAAATAATCGGCGAAATTTTAGCAGGGTTTATACGAACTTTGGGAAAAAAGTGGAGTACCTATAGAAAATTATTATATATCAAATTAGAGTCCAATTGACTTGGCCATTGAGAGAATTGAAATTAATTATATTGAAATTAATTATACTTGTACTTAGAGATCTTAAGCGTTAGTCTGAGAAAGCGTTCGCGGCGAGGACGTGAAAACGAAATATAAACTGATAAAAAAAAAAAAGAAAGACAGTAGAGAGACTTATTTAATCTAGCCGAATGTAACATAACATTCTACACATGTAAAATGTTGGCGATATCGAGGATATGTAATGCATTTCGAAAACAAAAATAAACTATACGTTCGAAATTTGTAGAGTCTATTCTGAATGAAGGGTACTCGATTGACCACGTCGCCTATTGGCCAATTCAAAATAGGACTCTCTGATTCGTTAATCGTTGCTGGTTACCCTAGGCACAGGTCGATGTAATTGGCTGTGGTCAATCGCAACGTGATCAGAGGGGATACTCCCATTCTGAATATATCCTAAGGTGAACTTTTAATTTTAAGTAAATTAAGTGGATCATAGGTATGATTTTATGTTTTAAAGTAGTTTAAATTACAAACTTTGTCTCTCTCTCTTTCTCTCTCTCTCTTCTTTTGAACGGATGTTTAAACAGTAACGAGAACATTATACCGAACATCTTCTGATAGTACCAAGGATTCTCGATAATGATGTATTAAGGATCTGTAAGTGGTACAAATTATATTTGTTCGAGAATCTATGACGGAAAATTGATGGTACCAATTATGTAGAAAACCAACGATCCATGATAGGAAGCGTCCATAGTAGGATCGAAGTCTTAATAAAGATAGGATGTTAGCAAATGTTTTCAATAGCCAAATGCCGCAAGATATCTTGCCACGATGTAACGGCCTATAAAAGCAGGTACCCATCGAAGGCAATGAATCATATACTTAACGGCAAAGCGAACATCTTTTTATCGAGATTTTGCGAAATTTCAAGGCTGTGCGCGTGTATCGACAGATCTTGTCATTGCGGATTTCAAATTAAAAAAAAAACAAAAAGAATATTCTCAGGTGGACGCACAGCTTATTGTAAAACGTAGTCCTGTATTACGTAAAATCACGAGGTCCTTTGTGTAAGATCTCCTAATAATAGATTGAATAGGACTTCACCGTATCATGATAATTAATTAAAAAGATCATTATTAATTGCATATTGACTATCATCCATTGACTTTTCATTTGTCTTCGCAATTATTAATAACATACGGATTTGTGCGCAAGCACCAACAGCGAGATAGAGAGTAGAAAGCAACGACGTAATACACAACATGATAAACACCTGCGAACTTTATCTAGAAGGTAAAATATGGAAATAAAAAAAAGAAGACTGTAACATGTCCGAAACTATGTACAACAAAACGAATATATATATATATATATATATATATATATATATATATAATCATAATAATATTATTTATTATTTAACTCTTATTTGTTTCCGAAATTTACTTAAACTTTTTATATGTATATTTCGCTGCTCGTTTTTGCGAACATAAATCAGTATCGCGATTATTAATAATATTAACATACTTAGGCGAGTGTGTGTATTGTCTGACACACAAATGTACACCATATAGACACTTGCATGGTATGCGTTTTGCGGCCGCGTAAAATCTGCGCCGCGATCTTTGGATGTGTTTGTTGTTTTCGAATAAAAATGAAATATATTTGTGTTACTGTAAACGTAATAGTACATTGTGTAAATCTTGCACTGCGTTTCCTATTTTTCCTTACATCAATTTAATATACGTTGATATATAACATTATTACATATCTTGAAATTGTCATCGACAAAAACTCAAGGAACACACTGAGGTCAAGAAAAAGTCAAAATGACTTTATTTTGACTCGAAATAGTCATGTGACGATAATTTGACCTCAGTAACATATACTGCTCGTGACGGAAAAATGACTTTGCGTTTGTCTTGCAAATTTAATATAGCAGTATAGTAATTAAGTTTAGTATGCGTAAAAGTTCTGAAAATTATTATTAATGTATATGGCTTTGTGTCAATTCGATGTCGTCAATGGATCATTTTTTATAATTTAATAGCCTTTTTATTATCATCTTACTTTTATATACATTTATACAGTGAGTTTCTACATTTGCCGCTACACGTCGTACCAAATTTAACTAAACTCGTATTCAATTTTTCGTCATGAATGTATATAAAGGATATAGATAAAGTGCTGCTAAACATTAGATAAGATCTATAGTATATTTTTTTTCCTTTTGTGAGCAATAATGCCAGAAAGAGAACTACCTAACTAACAGCTCTCTACTTGTGTACATATGGGTAATATTCTCTTCCTGTTCCTGGCATCACTATTTATCAGTTTAATTTCTAATAAACCAAATTAAAAATAATTTATTTAATAATCTGGATTCCTTGTTGGAATTCAAGATATTAAACAGATTATTTGAAATTAGGTGGAGATAAATGAGAAATAATCCATTTATAGCGTATATTAATAATCGTCAACAAATCGTCAAATTTTGTAACCAAAAATCATCATTTTGATTTCTTCTATTGTGATGTAATTATGACGTCATTTTGACTACAATGTGTTCTTTGGGGGTTTACAAGTATCTTTGTCGCAAGAATCTCTGACGTATTATCAATCACGTATTATTTCAGATTTAGCAATACTTTATTCTTATGATTCGCATTACTTAGAATACATACTGCTTTATAAGCAGTGAAACTTGACCGACCACTCAAGTCGACGAAAATTTCAAATCATCTTTGAAGCGTCAGCAATTTTGAACTTGAACTCAATTCATGACATTTGAGCGCATGCGTAGTAGTATGAGCAGTATGGGTGAGTTCCGAAATCCTACTTGTGAAGTAACGTTTAATTGACCAATCAAAAAAAAGAAATATTTTTCTCCCTTTATTTTCTTTCCCGATTGGTCAATTCAATATTGTGCTATCCTATAACAAAATGTTCGAATTCATCTCTTTAACGTAACGATCAGCTGATTGCTAATCAGCAATTTTTATTAGTGTAGTACAAACATATTTTGTGTTATGCACTTGTCGTGTGAATAAATATATTTTTAGATCTAAGAGTATACACCAATCAAAGATCGCACAACATTACTTTCGCATACGATAATTTTTCGCACGATTTCAAGAATAAAGGTGCAATTTCATTGACGCTAAAAAGTAGCGTCAACCATTGATTGAACAAAGAAGCAACTATTTACTTCTTTGTTCAACCAATGCTACTTTTTAGCATCAATGAAAAGGTCGCTTAAAGGCGTCTTTAGATGGAAGCGTTTAGCGTCAAGCGTCGAGCGTCAAAAACACGTGCGCAGCACCCTTGCGCATAATTCTGAACAGGCAGATTCCAGCATCTTGACGCTAAAACCGCTAAAACAATGTCTAGTAACAAAATTTTAATAAATACGGTAGAGGTAAGTAGATTGTATATTCTTAATAGAAAATGTATTAATATATATAATATATAATAAATATAATGGATATAATAGATATAATAGATATCATTATACAATATATATTATAGAATTGCGCGATTAGTAGCGTATTACAACATAACCAAACAGAAGGAATAATTGGCATAAATATATGTTTTCTAAATACAACATGAATATTATTTATTACAATGTATTCTTTGTATAGGATATAACGTGTGGAGTGTGCACGTAACTTTTTTTTGTTTCTTATATTCATGATTAATAATGCTGCTGCATTCTAATAACCATTGATGATAACGATAATTAACTGACATTTTATTGATAATATTTGATAATATTTGATAATAATGATAATAATGATAATATTGATAATATTGATAATAATGATAATATTTGATAATATTCCGCAATTTAGATGATTTACTGACTGCTCCAGCGTTTCAACAAATCACTAGGCACACTGCGCATGTCACACTTTTTGACGCTTTAACGCTCGACGCTAAAACGCTCCCATGTAAAGGCACCTTAAGGGTGGATTTTCACTTGACGCTCGACGCTCATTTTTTAGCGTCAAAAAACATCACGTGACTAAAAATAAAGATACCAATTCGTCATTTTTTGATCACATGATGTCTTTTGACGCTAAAAATGAGTATCGAGCGTCAAGTAAAAATCCACCCTCAGGTCCCTGATCTCGTGATCTCGTGATCGTGATATTACTGCTTGAATTTATCAAACGACCACGTGTTTCAGTACTTACAAAATTAAGGTTAGATTTTTAGAATATTTATCTTTTTTTCCATATTTTTTTTTATAAAATCACAAATATTCTTTCAAATATTTCATAAATATTTGTTACATAAATACAATTTCATAAATATTTATTTGCTTTGTTTATAATACTATTGCAATAAAATGACCAAAAGTGCTAGAAGTGCTAAAATTCTAATCACATCAACTTGAAAATATTTATGAATAAAAATACAATCGATTTTGACTGAAAATTATTTTCAGTCAAAATAATATAATAATATGTAATATGTGGTTGTTTCGTCAGGTGTTTAATCTTATGTATTGTAATTTTTTTTTCTCTAATACATCTCTTTTATTTTCACAGTAAAATGGAGGAGTTGTTGAAAAAGTTGGCCGTAGAGTTATATGATGTCCAGGCCCTGAAATTCGGGGACTTTAAAACAAAAATTGGCTTAAGAACGCCAATATATTTCGACCTGCGAGTGATAATTTCGTATCCAAAATTAATGGTATATATTAATGATGTAATATAAGAGGGAATCATAATAAATTCATGCAAGATATATTACAGGATATATATGCTATATATTAATTTACTTTTTTATCTCAGTCTGCTTTGGCGAAAGCTCTGTGGACTCTTGCAGATGACGTTACAAAAGTGTCCCAAATTTGCGGAGTCCCATATACGGCACTGCCATTAGCTACTTTAATTTCAGTAGATAACCAGATTCCGATGTTAATGAAGAGAAAAGAGACAAAATCCTATGGTACGAAGAAGCTGATTGAGGGTGTGTTTTCGTCCGGTGATAACTGTGTAATCATTGAGGATGTCATCACTAGCGGCAGCAGTATTCTGGAAACAATTGATGCCTTGAAGAAGGAACATTTGAATGTAACAGAAGCATACGTGATAATTGATAGGGAACAAGGTGGTAGAAAGAATCTCGAGAATCATGGAATCAAAGTCAAAAGTTTATATGTAGTCACACAACTCATGCAATATCTCCTTGAGGCTGGAAAGATTACATCAAAAGTTGTCAAGGAGGTTGACGATTATCTGGCAATGAATCAGGCACCGACCATTTCCATTCAAGGTAAATTTTGGCATTGATTTACTACATATGACTTATACAGAGTGTCCCAAAAGTCCCGGACCGGTCGAATATTTCATAAACTATGCACTTTAGAAAGAAATGTTTCAGACAAAAGTTGTATGGCTTGAAGGGGACCATCAGATAGTGGCAATGATTTGACATGGAAGAGTCATTTGAAAATCACGTGAAGATCACCGTCAATTTCTTAAATGGAACCATCTATTTTTTATTAAATATTCTGGTAGCTCATGTCGAGAGCTTTCCAAAACACTATAATTAAGTTAGTTTTCATTAACTTATTTACTTTCCGAGTTATGAGGCTTGAAATCATTTCTTAATTTTACATAAACCGTAAAATATCTTGTAAAATATTCATTTTTCGATTATCTTACCTTAATAATTTTATGTACAAAATAATGAGAGGAATCAATTGGTGTAAAGAAAAAACATAATTCTTTTTAAGAAAAAAATATGTAATTTGTAATTAACAATTACATATTTTTTTTTAAAACAACTATGTGTTTTCTTTACATCTATGTGTTTTCTTTACAATTGGTGAAACAATTGATTCCTCTCATTATTTTGTACATAAAATTATTAAGGTAAGATAATCGAAAAATGAATATTTTACTAGATATTTTATGGTTTATGTAAAATTAAGAAATGATTTCAAGCCTCATAACTCGGAAAGTACTTAATGAAAACTAACTTAATTGTAATGTTTTGAAAAGCTCTCGACGTGAGCTACCAGAATATTTAATAAAAAATAGATGGTTCCATTTAAAAAATTGACGGTGATCTTCACGTGACTTTCAAATGACTCTCCCATGTCAAATCATTGCCACTATCTGATGGTCCCCTTCAAGCCATACAACTTTTGTCTGAAACATTTGTTTCTAAAGTGCATAGTTTATGAAATATTCGACCGGTCCGGAACTTTTGGGACACTTTTATAATTTATCATTAATATTTGTCGTTTCTGCTTATAGGCACTATACCAAATGACAGATTGAAGCTGCCATATTGTAAACGTGCAAAATTAGCGAAAAATCCGTTGGCCTCAAAGCTGCTAGAACTAATGGAGTCTAAGCAAACCAATCTCTGTCTAGCGGCCGATTTGAAAAAAACAGACGCGATTTTAGAGTTAGCAAATACAGCTGGACCTCACATTGCTGTATTGAAGACTCATGTGGATATCATAGAGGACTTTAATGAGGGTTTTATTCTTCAACTAAAAGATCTAGCAAAACGGCACAAGTTTCTACTGATGGAGGATCGCAAGTTTGGCGATATTGGCAACACGGTGTCGTTGCAATACAGATATGGCTTATATAAAATCGCCGAATGGGCCGATTTGATCACAGTGCATCCGATATCCGGCGCGTCCGTCATTGATGCGCTAAAGAAAGGTATGAAGAACATCACGGAACCTCGTGGTATTTTCCTTATCGCCGAAATGTCATCCAAAGGTACCTTGACTACCGGTGATTACTTGAAAAGCGCAGTATCGATGGCAGAGGAAGCTTCTAACCTAGTAGTCGGCCTTGTGTGTCAATCTAATCTCTCTGCACAATCCGGATTGCTTCAATTGACGCCTGGCGTCCAGTTATCAAAGAGCGATGACGGATTAGATCAACAATATAACAATCCGGAAACGGTTATCAATGCGGGTGCCGATTTGGCTGTTGTCGGTAGAGGTATCACCGAAGCCTCCAATTGTTTAAAGGCTGCTTTAGAATACAAAAGACAGCTCTGGAATGCATACGAGAAACGAATAAACTCACCCGATATGTGATAGTAACGCAATTCGCAAACTATTTTTATATAATGTTTTCTTACAGCTGGATCTGTAGTCTTTGAAATTATAACTGTTTTTTATTTTAAAATAATGTTTGACAGATTTATTTCCAAATATTTTTCTCCAATATATGAGATAAATATATAGTTTATATACTTATAATATATGTCATATTTATAAAATATTTTATAAATATGATTTATATAATAAAATAATATGTAAAATGCTAAGTTCATACTGTGCTTAAGCATTTATCTTTATCATACAGATTTTGTCGTATATATAATGTGCCATACATATACAGAATAAGAGATATATGATAAGACTTATCAAATAGTTCTTTTGTTTCTTTTATATATAACTTTTAACAATTATTCAATAAGAAAAAGGAATTATTACTACATATGTGAAATTTGTTATGTATGCATTCCATTTACTCCTCAGAATAAATATAAATTTGTATACATGCACAACTCATTCCATAGAAGTAATAAATCGAAGATGTGTTATTTTTCTACGAAATATAGCAATAAATAGCAATATATAGGAATAAATGTTTAATTTCATGTCAACCATTTTTAAAAAAGATTCTGAAAGTTTTTATTGTTAAAAGGCGATCGAATCGAAAAAGGCAATATCATTTCCTGCGATAAATATGTACATATACAATAATATACAGAAACATGAAATTCATGAATTTACATATATATGCACAACTCATTCTATAAAAGTAATAAATCGAGGAAGGTTTATTTTCTATGAAATATATATAATAATAAATGTATATAATAATAAATGTATAATTTCATGTCCCAACCATTTTTAAGAGTCTGCAAATTTTTATTCTTAAAAGTAAATCGAAAAAGGCAATTCATTTCTAGCATTATATTTTCCGAAATATGAATTTTAAATGATTTGTAAGTTTTAATTTTTCATGAAAACAATAGGTCTTCCACGATCGAGGCTCGTGTCTGAGAGGAAGCAGCTTGACGTTAGCCACGCGTCATCTGCGTGGCCAATGTCAGGCAATATCATTTCTAGCGTTATATTTTCTGAAATATGAATTTTAAATGATTTGTAAGTTTTAATTTTTCATGAAAACAATAGGTCTTCCAGAATCGAGGCTCGCGTCCGAGAGGAAGCAGCTTGACATTAGCCACACATCTGCGTGGCCAACGTCAGACAATATCATTTCTAGCGTTATATTTTCCAAAATATGAATTTTAAATGATTTGTAAGTTTTAATTTTTCATGAAAACAATAGGTCTTCCAGGATCGAGGCTCGCGTCCGAGAGGAAGCAGCTTGATGTTAGCCACGCATCTGCGTGGCCAACGTCAGGCAATATCATTTCTAGCGTTATATTTTCCGAAATATGAATTTTAAATGATTTGTAAGTTTTAATTTTTCATGAAAACAATAGGTCTTCCAGGATCGAGGCTCGCGTCTGAGAAGAAGCAGCTTGACGTTAGCCACGCATCATCTGCGAGCGGCGATTTTCCCGCGCGATAACACGCGTCAGGTGTCAGTCGGCTGTCGCCTCGCGTCGCGGGCGGATCATCGGGGAAAAAAATTGTCGGAGCAACGTAGTGGCTCTCAAAATCTTCCGTAAAGTCGCGATATCGAATGTCGCGACGGTGACGATACCGATAAGCTGGGAAAGTCGGCGTGATTATCGTTGATACAGGTAATAGATTATATCGCGTGATGTTTCTTGGCATGATCGCGTCATATAATCAGGCGACTTTAGTATAGTATCGTCGATTTTAGCCTGAAACTTGCCCAATGACTTGAATTTGCAGCGAAAGGACCATCGAGATCGAACAATATGGCGCGAGGTCCGAACGCATCTTTCTTGAATACTCGAGAGAATAAATCTCACGAGATGTAATATCACGTAATAAATTTTAAAATGACAAACACATTTATCATATCGTTTTATAACTAGAATAAATAATCTTGCAATAAAGTTTCGTAACGTAATGGTCCGTGCTTTTTACGACGTGATAATGGATGATATCTTAACGAGGCGATTTGTTTTGTTCTTTCAGACTGGTTGTTTACGCGTGTTCTTTGTCATAATATTGAAGCATGACAGAGACGACAACACTGACGGAATTCGAAGAAAATGTGTCCTTCGACGCGGATGATCCAGACTTTGCGCCTTCGCCTCCCGTGAAACGAAATATTCTTCATGATTCGCGGTATTTCGTAGAAAAATTCGACGTTAAAGGTAGATACATTTTGACTTTTTTTTAATCGCCAACGATGCTTTGGTTTATCTATTTTGAAATTTCAAAATTTGCTCGAATCACTAGAATTTGCAATGGAAGGAATTATCGCAATCAAACGGGACACTTGAAATTGCGTGTGTGAGCATATTATTATTTTTTTCAAGTATTAAAGCAAAAATTCAAAATCATCACTTTTTCTCTTCTCTATTTCTTGATAAGTAGAAGAGAATAAGATAATTTAATAATAAAATAATAATTTAATGATAAAATTTAAATAATTTTCAATTGAAATATTATTAATATTTCTATCTTTTATTTATTAGATTAATTGATGACAGAATTAAAGAAAATAATACATATTTTTTATACAAATTGTAATATACGATTTTATGTTGTATTTTTAGACATCTCTGTTTGAAGGTTAAACCGAAAGCATTGATGTGCCGTACTTACGGGATATCGAACCAAAGTACCGTTATTTCATATTGGAATATGTATTATATTATACATATCATATGTATAACATATGTATTATATTATATAAAGGGTCCTCCTATATAATTTTGCTTTCATCATGATAGTTTTTTTTTATTTATTTCATACATACGCAGTGGTGAAAATGTTTTTATGATAAATTAGATAAATGATAAAAAGTTTTTTTTTATATAACAATTTATTTTAAACTTGAACGTCTAATTTTCTAAATTAAAAATGATTTTCAAATTCTCAAGCTTTTCTATTCTTTTATTTTATTTGCCATAATTGAATAATTACATACTTCTTTAGCAAAAAATCAAATTATTGAGTGTTAGTGTTTTTTTTAATTTTCTAATATAAGTATACAGTGTCCCAAAAGTCCCGAACCGGTCGAATATTTCATAAACTATGCACTTTAGAAAGAAATGTTTCAGACAAAAGTTGTATGGCTTGAAGGGAGCCTAGTGGGAGATAGTGGCAATGATTTGACATGGAAGAATCATTTGAAAGTCATGTGAAGATCACCGTCAATTTCTTAAATGGAACCCCCTACTTTTTATTAAATATTCTGGTAGCTTACGTCGAGAGATTTCCAAAACACTATAATAAAATATTTCTTCATTAAGTACTTTTCGAGTTATGAGGCTTGAAATCATTTTTTAATTTTACATAAACCGTAAAAAATCTTGTAAAATATTCATTTTTCGATTATCTTACCTTAATACTTTTATGTACAAATTAATGAGAGGAATCAATTGGTGTAAAGAAAAAACATAGTTGTTTTTAAGAAAAAAATATGTAATTTGCAATTAACAATTACATATTTTTTTTTAAAACAACTATGTGTTTTCTTTACACCAATTGATTCCTCTCATTATTTTGTATATAAAAGTATTAAGGTAAGATAATCGAAAAATGAATATTTTACTAGATATTTTATGGTTTATGCAAAATTAAAAAATGATTTCAAGCCTCATAACTCGAAAAGTACTCAATGAAGAAATACTTTATTATAGTGTTTTGGAAAGCTCTCCAGACAAGCTACACGAATATGTAATAAAAAATAGGGGGTTCCATTTAAGAAATTGATGGTGATCTTCACGTGACTTTTAAATGACTCTCCCATGTCAAATCATTGCCACTATCTGGTGGCCTCCTTCAAGCCATACAACTTTTGTTTGAAACATTTCTTTCTAAAGTGCATAGTTTATGAAATATTCGTTTATGAAAAATATATACAGAGTGTCCCAAAAGTCCCGGTTCGGGACTTTTGGGACACTCTGTATATATTTTTTAAATTGAAAGGAATTACCCAGGTAGCAAGATGACGTCTTTAGACGCGTAAATATTTTCTACGTCTTTAGATGCGTAAATATTTTCTATATATATATTTTCTTTTTTTTTTATCTATTATATACAGGGTGAGTCATTTTAAGTGACGGACTAAAATTTCTCGAAAACTATAGGAGATACAGAAAAATGTTTCAAACAAAAATTGTAGGGTGTGAAGGGGGACATAAGATGGTAGCATTGGTTTGACCTTGGAAAGTCATTTGAAGGTCACATAAAAGTCACCTTCAATTTCTTAAATTGAACCCACTATTTTTCATTACATATTCTTGTAGCTTATCTCGAGAGCTTTCCAAAACACTACAGACAAATGTTTTTTCATTAAATACTTTTTGAGTTATAAGGCTTCAAAGTTTGCAGTACTTCGATATAAAATGCAAAATATCTCGTAAAATATTTAGTTTTCGGTAGTCTTACCTTAATACTTTTATGCACAGGATAATGAGACAAAACTATTGGTGCAAAGAAAACGTATGATTGTTTATGATAAAAAATGTGTAATTTGCAATGCACTTTTTGTTATAAACAATCATGCATTTTCTTTGCACCAATAGTTTTGTCTCATTATCCTGTGCATAAAAGTATTAAGGTAAGACTACCGAAAACTAAATATTTTACGAGATATTTTGCATTTTATATCGAAGTACTGCAAACTTTGAAGCCTTATAACTCAAAAAGTATTTAATGAAAAAACATTTGTCTGTAGTGTTTTGGAAAGCTCTCGAGATAAGCTACAAGAATATGTAATGAAAAATAGTGGGTTCAATTTAAGAAATTGAAGGTGACTTTTATGTGACCTTCAAATGACTTTCCAAGGTCAAACCAATGCTACCATCTTATGTCCCCCTTCACACCCTACAATTTTTGTTTGAAACATTTTTCTGTATCTCCTATAGTTTTCGAGAAATTTTAGTCCGTCACTTAAAATGACTCACCCTGTATATTCTAATGTAAGTTATATTCTTGTATTTTGTTCTAGAAGAAATTGCAAAGATTACTTATCTAATCGTGCATAAATTATATAAAATGTCATTATTGTGTATCAAAATAGAGAATTGCAAGGAATCTAAATATAAATACAATCCAAAAGAAATGAGAATTCAATTTTGAGGGTAATAAAAATTTTTACAATGCTATCCATCTATTTTTTTGCGGTGTAGTCCCGAAGATAAGAAATGTTTACATTAACGTGTATTAATGCAGTACACAAACACACACACACACACAGAGACACACATATGTATATTTATGCGACCATGCACCACACATGCCATTTCGGTCAACGCGTGACCGATGCTTGCGATATCATAATTTGACATTGCGACGCGTGTAAATTTTAATATGTACGTCGCAAAATTCGCGCACGTTCGCACGGGTCTTCGGCATTTCTGATGAATAAAGAAAAGATCGTTCAGCACTTGCTTATGCAAATCGTTCGTACTTTCATCCTTCGATTTTCATTCGACTGCGATGAATAAATTAACGATATGACGACGATGGAAGTGCTACATTTACGAAGCGACATTTTTACATAAGTCTTCCTTACAGATGTTTCTTTTGTGTTTCGATATGATGTCTAGATGCAAATTTTTTTTTCAAAGAAATATCCTCGAAGAGCGGTTCTTAAAAATCTGAAAATATATAGAATAAGATTTAAATAAATAAAATATATTTTTAAAATATCTTTTAGAGATTTTAGAATGTCCCTTGATTATTTAGACAAAGATACATGAACTTTGATGAAGAAAAAATTCATCGATATATAAGTATCTCGATTTTATTATTATCTGATATGTCTGATTTTTTTATCTGATTCAGTTATCGCTGCAGAATGTATAAATAAATTAAATAATAATTTTTAGTAGTAAATAAATTAAAACGATATAGAAAACTATCTCTGTGAAATTAAGTACTTATATTTATGAAATTATGAAGATTTTTGTTAATTTGGGTTAAAGAAGAAAAAAAGTAAATTATCGAATTTTTAAAATATTTTATCCAAAAACAATTTATATAAAAATATTTATATTATTATTATACTATGATATTAAAAATATTTATATTCTAATATAAATATTAAAAATATTTATATTATTATATTATTATAAAAAAAAATATTTATATTATTATTAATTATGAAAGATTCAACGTGAAAAAGGAAAGAACTCAAACTTCGACTGTAGTATTTTTAAACGAAGATTTACATTTCTCTCGAAATTCAATTTCGTGGAATCAATTTCCATTGTTGATTCCATTCAATCCGTCTATTTTTCGCATATTCTCGCTACTCTTAATCCGCGACATTCTCGCGAGGATGAATCAGGAAGAATTTCTCGGAAGAACTGGTACGAGACACGACGCGACGTTCCTTATCTTTGTGCGTCTCACCCCACGACTCTATTATTATATTATACTAACATGCATGTACACAGACATGCGCGCGCGCGCGCGCGCGCGAAGGGCACGAAACTCGATCTACAGACAAAATTGGATCCACGGCGGCTATCGCCTTTCTTCCCGGGAACTCGACGTGTGGCGGGACTGACGCCGGTGGTGTTAAATATACGTCTCTCACTAATCGTACAGATAAAGAGTACCGTTGTTATGATAGAGAGGAAAAGGAAGGGTACCGCAGACGCTTCCTTTCGTAGGGTATTATTTGATTTCCTGTAAATTCTCATCGCGTTTTTTGCTCTTACAATTTCTCAAAATTGACGAGGTTATTGTACAAGAAAGTAACATATTAATGTAATTAACATTATATAATATAATTAATAATTTTTTATATATTTTATTTGATATGTTTTTGTTAAGAAACAATATTTTAAAATTATTGATTAATAAATTTTTTATTAAATATATATAATATTATATTTTATATATTATATATATATTTGATTTAATATTTTAATTTCGAAAAGATAAAAATTAATTGTTAAAATTAATAAATTAATTTTTTATTTATGATTTGCGTGACGTGTAACAGTTCTCTAACATATCAACTGCACTTTGGTTACATATAATCACTCGTTAGATGGCGATCAAAAAGCTTTTCAATTGTTTAAATTCGAAGAATAATTCAAGCTTTTACAAAAAGTAATCACTAATATTTTTTATTGCACATCTTTTGAAATAAAACTTTTACATCAATTTCTGATTTTTCAAAAATTGA